GGCATTCCTATACGTATAATCCAGCGCGCAATTCCTCGGTCATCCTCTGGTACGGGCGGAGGGGGAGGTGACCGGACATGTGGACGAGGAGTTGAGAGAAACGCAACAGACAAACGCACCCTTCTTGCCTCTTAGGGTTATTTACAGAACATAAGATTCTTCGGACCGAATACTTCCTGTTTTTTTTTTTTTTCTGAATCAAATGCCTTATTCACATGCTACGTCTTTGCTGCTTCGATTATTTGTCATGTCAAGAATCTGAATTATCGCCATGCAAACGTTCCAAAGTGATAACTCGTCACTATAGTTTACAGATTTCACTAGAAAACTCCTTCATTGATTGGCTGAGGATTATCTCGACCATCATTTTTGAATATATATATATATATATATATATGTATATGAAATAACAAGACAAAAAGAGTAATGTTGTGTCTTGGTCAACCATGGATGCTGACAAGGAAGTGGGTCCACATTGCTCCAGTAAGCAAGGTTGTTTTCTTCAAACCCTAGTATTATTATAACTCACGAGGACAAAACTGGCATCTTTAATTTAATCACTGTCGTCGCATCACAACCTTGGAGTTATGAATCATAAAAAGAACACGTGCAAGTTTAGCTGATGATCTCTTATTAAACTAATCCGGGATACAAATATATGAAATATTTTAATAAAAATGAAAATATTACCAGGAATTCATATTTCCAGAAAACTACATTACAAATTGTATGACACGAGCTTAATTTAGAGGAATCCAACTCCACTTTACTATAGATATGTAGGAATCAGTTCGACGAAGTAAATTGACAATAACCAATCATAATCTATGTATAACTCTAAGTCGCTTACATTATATATTCAAGTGTATATATATATATATATATATATATATAATTAAGCATCAGAATAAAATCAACATGGTTAATTAATTAAGATTCTACTTAAATGGACCATTACTGTAATCTCTGTTGCCGTCTGGTAATGGATTCCACATCTCCCACATCCTGTCCGGGAAAGCATTGTTCGGAAACGTCCCAGGAATAACGTTCATGGCAAATGCAGCCGCCTGCGTTTGAGGCGTTATAGCTGTCGCTGCAGCCATCACATTCAAAGTGTTTTGCTGCTGCTGCTGTTGCTGTTGGTGAAATTGCTGTGCGATTTGGTAATATTGTTGATTGATGTTGTTTGCGGAGCCGCCCACCGTTATCTGGTAGTTTACAAGCCTCTGCAGCTCATCAATGGAGTTATTGATGAAAAGAGATTCGTCTTCTGCAGCCATTGTTGGGATCATCGAGTTGCTTGTGGAAAAAGGCATTGGATGTTGTTGTTGTTGATTTACTAAACCGATGCTTATGTCGGAATTGCTGTTGTTGGTATTAGTACTTGTGTTTGTGTTGGTTGTTGTGCTTCCATCGCCGGAATATTCTGCTGATAGCTTTTCAAGACTGTTAATGCTTGTGTTGTTGTTGACGTTGAGGTTCTTGTTTGACGACTGGTGTTGTTGTCTTGAAGCCAACCGGGATGATGATGATGATGATGATGCGTTATGATGATGGTGATGATGATGATGATGCCTTGTCGGAAGAGAACGCGGGAGTGATGGATGATCTTCAACTCCTGGCCTCTTGTAGACCCGGCAAAGTGATATTTCAGCCTGCATATAACCACGCATATATATATATATACATATATATATATATGCATATGCACACCGTCAAAAATCTGGATATATACGTATGCTAGATAATTAATCTGAATTATGAACGAATGGAATGTGCAAGAAGATAACTTAAACAAGGCAAACAAACAAACAAACAACATAGGAACTGAAAACAATAATGCATACTGTGTAATTAATCGTAAACCGGAATTCATTTGGACAAGAATACAAGTGAATTGGATTGATACTAGAGTTATATTTATGAGATATTATCGTATACCAAGAACCAGAAGTGTTAAATATGTGCGTAAATGTAAATATATATATAGGTGCAGTGCAGACGCGTATGTTTATATATTTGTATAGATATAAGTATCGATGGGCCATGCTTGTTAAAGAGATCATGCGTGTAGCATGAGCATGTCTGAAACCGCAAAGAGCATATACATTTACTGCAAAACAAAGTCAAGAAACAAATCTAAAGCCGAAAGATGTGCAGTCCCATTCTTATCTGATCCCTAGGGTTTGAACACGAAATTGATTGCGAATCAATGAACTCAACTGGTTCGTTATCCGGGTCGAATCTCTCTCCAATGGGTCATATGAGTTTTCCAAGGAAAAGATTCAAACCCAGGAAAAAAGAAAGGAACTTTAAGTTTGGATGGCGCATTTGGAATTGAATTACCCAACTAGGGTTATAATATACATATAGGAGGATGAGGATGAGGAAAACGAAAACGTATACATACATATATATATATATATATATATATATATATATATGTGCGTATGTAAATAGAGAGAGTGGAGATGATTGGGGTACCTTTTGGTACTTCTCGGTCTCATGGTGAGGCAGGCGGTACTCGTTCATGATCCAACTTGTACGGATGCCTTTGGGGGCTTTGCCAGAATAGAAGACAAGCGTTTTCTTCAATCCGATTGGGCGAGAAGTCTCCGATCGGATCATGCGATCGGCTCCGGTGGCTTTCCAGTACCCCGACGTCGTCACCCGATTCGGCCTGTCTCCGTTTCTGTACTTCCGATCTCGAGGCACATAGAAATACCACTCTTTCTCCCCTATCGCCGCCATAGCTGCATATACATATTTGCGCGTATATGTCATCAGTCACATTAAGTCGTATACATGAAGAGCTAGCGCGTATAGCATATATATGATACGAAACCGTAAATCAAGAACTTGTCTTGGCGATGTGCGAGATATGTGATCAAGAGAGAAAGAAAACCAAAACAAGGAAAGTAATAAAAGAAACCTGCGAGGAAGGATTTTTTATTCTGTACAAAGAATTATCGAAGGGGAAGAATAAACCTAAAAAAATATGAGTAGGTTAAAGAAAGGAAGAATTAATTAGAAGGAAATGAAGATATGAAGAGAGGGGATGGGTAGGGAGAAATGGTTATATATATATATATATATATATATATAAGCATACATATATAGAAGCAGTAGGAGGGGGTATATGTACCAGGAAGTTCCCAAGGATCATAGCGATAAAGATCGAGGAAAGTGATGAGTTCGACATTAAAGCGTTTGCCCTCGACCTTACGGCGAAGGTAGAACTCTATGAGTTCTTCTTCGGTCGGGTGGAAGCGGAAACCGGGCATGACCAAGTCGTGATCATGATCATCATCGTCATCATCATTATCATCATCATGACCATCTTGATGCCCTCGGCGATCATCATCACCCTCAAGACCCTTGTCGCTGTTGCGGTTTTGGTGAAAATCTCCATTACTAACACGGTTGCTCATGGTGATGATGCTTGATGTGGAGGATACAACTGCCATACAAAAAATTTATGAGTTGAGTGTTTATATGTATGCGTCTCTGTGTGTGTGGATGTGGAAGAAAAGGGGGTTTAAGAAGATATGGAAAGGGATTAAGAGGATTGGTTTTTATAGTATATCAAGGGAAGAAAAAAATTACGGAGAGATGATAGTGAGTGGTGTGGCTATGGCTATAGATAAGAGAGAGAGAGAGAGAGAGAGATTATGATGATGATGAAGAAGAAGAAATAAAAACGGCCTCGTTTTGTAATTGTAAGCCGAGAGACTAAGCAAGAAGATGAATGTCGAAGAAGAAGAAGAGAGAGAGAGAGAGTTAAAGAGGAGACAAGGACTTGTCCAATTGAGGACAGGGTGTCCACGGTCTTCTTAGCGGTTCCTTTGGACCTTTCTCCCCTCCATTTATAGTTTTTTTCATTTTCATTCTTATTTTAAAAATGTGCTCATTTATATGTCTATATGTTTATATAATATATAATGTATCCACATACACGCGCACGTACACGATATATACATATACATATATATATGTAATGGAAGATTGATAAAATTTTGGCTTCATGTGCAATTTCCGAGTCCTTGGACTCATTGATCTAATGATCATATTTCTTTCGCAGATAATTAGGATTTGGTTTCCTTGTTTAACTATAGAAGTGTATACCTTTATTGGGCATGCACAATTCACGGCCCCGAAAACCATGTGTCAACAAAATAATGAAATGTCGATGTATCATATATCTAATAATTCAGAGTTGTTTGGGTAAATTTTCGTCATTTCTTTTTTATTTTGCATTAAAATTTTGTCCGTCCTATTTACATCAAGAAAAATCGATTGAAAATTTTTACGGGTAAATGTTTATTTAATAATTTGTTAGATATTTGGGTTTTGAATTTTTTTTAAATCAAATCGAAACCCAAAATTTATATCTCTGGCTGTATATAATTTCAGTGGTGTGTGATTTCAAATGTGCTAGTCTAGCAAAATTATGAAGATGCCATCTTGACCGAAATTCTTGCCACATTAATTGAATATTGGGTACACAATTTAATAATACACTCTTTTATTAATGTTTGCATTATTTAATTAATTTTTATTTCGGCGAATAATTCTTCTTGGTGACCTAAATTACTATAACTGTGTATCCTCACTTGGCCTTAATATTTATATTATATATATATATATATATATATATATATATATATATATATATATGTGTGTGTGTGTGTGTTTTCACGTATGCTTCATGAATGTTCTTTATAATTTTCTTTAATCTTATAAATGATCATTTTGGACCCACAATATTACCTTAATATTTATACAATTATGAACACAGAACAAATCTCTGCACATTTCGTCTTGCAGTTTCTGCTTCTCGTAGAGTGTTATGCATATATATATACACACACACACATACAAGAATGTCAAGAAATTATCAATCTAGCATGGAAATAGATAAATAAATAAAACTTTGCAGGTTTTAATTATCTGGAATTATATACATGTACGTATGTGTACCTAGATAACTGGAAATTGTACTTATATTAAAATATAATCCATTTCATTGAAAAGCTTTATATATAGGTTCATATCATATAGTCTTAGGCAAAGCTAATTAAAGTCTACCGTTGTCATAATCTGGTTAGCTAATTAGTAATTAGGGTTATTAAGAAAGTTTAAGTAGGCTTTAAATTAGCCTTCACCACGACCATGGGTTCGGCAACTCCTTAATTTGCATTAACTTTCCCTAACCTATCATTTTCTGTAGCTTACAAAATACGTGAATCATATATATATATATATATATATATATATATATCAGATATCATACATAAGTGTTGGCTTCGTCTCACAGTTATTATTGCAGACGACACAAATTATTTTTAATTACAACAGATATGGCATTAACGATCGATTATACTATTAAGAAAGTTTATTAGGGTTTCGAGTTTACAGCTTATTATTATATGATTGGTTTAATTAACTTTGAGTTGTTATAACAGCTTTAACATAACTTGAGTTCTATCTGTGACTATGTGGAAGATAACATTAGTTTTTACACCAGTTAAAGGTTAATTGCCAATATATATATATATATATATATATATAGAGAGAGAGAGAGAGAGAGAGAAGCTTAGAGGGCTCATGCCGTCGAATCGACGATATGGGCCCTCGCGAATTCCATGCTGTCCGAATTATGGATATAAATAAATTAAGCTTATCTATTGTAAATAAAATCAAACCACCAAATCCAACGAGGGAGGACGGATAAATTATTTAATTATTTACACGTTTAATAAAATTAATGCACATTTAATGGGGGCATTATCAAAAATACCCTTAAAATGCTACTTCTACTTCAAGACCTACCCTGATCACATGTGACCAATGTGACCGAAATATAGTATGATCACATTTTGATTTTTATCGATTATAACGTTAAATTTATGGTGATCACACTAATTCATTATGTTCATACCTTGTATATCTTACTAATCATTTGATTAAAACATCATAAATTTAACGTTATGAACAATGAGATCAATATGTGACCATACTATATTTCGGTCACATTGATCACATGGTCACAAGGGTAGGTGTTGAAGTAGAAGTAGCATTTTAAAGGTATTTTTGATATAATGCCGATCCGTCCGCCCGTGTTATAACTTATATATCTATATATGTAAATTAATTGAAAAATCATATAATGGATAATTATATGAACTAGACGAAATATTTCTCCAAGGGACTTAATTTGTTTTCTCGCCACCCCGCTTGTGAGTTGTGACCGACATGCGAAAAAAAAACCCTGGAAGAATCGTATTACATTAAATGGGCATTATATCAAAAATACCCTTAAAATGGACTCCACATAATTATATATTATATCGATGTTTGCAAAGAAAATCAATGGCATATGATTATACATCGATTTCGATCTGCGATATAATGAAAATGAATGAAATATACTGATCAGGAGTAAGATATTGAGTCCCGAGAAACTCCGATAAAAACCCATGCAAAGGACGAAAAAAAATATGAAATAAAAATAAAACAGAGTATTTGAAAAAAAAATATTAAAGAATATATGAGCCGTTCCTATAACAAGAAAGGGTTCGAGAGAGATTCAAGAAAGATGGCACTAGAACAAAGTTAGTAAACCCTAAAAGTCATACAATATAGATTATGATTATATATATATAAGTCATGTCTCCCAACCAAAAGCAAAAAATGTTACCAATAAATCTGATTTGGTTATCCCAAAATTGGAATTTAATTGGATTTGGTTACCCATCGCCAGATTCTCATTGGTCATCGAATTTGTGTAGGTAGGTGATATTTACTTTTGACAAGAAATTATCAAGCTCTAGCTTAATTATTCCACCAACTTCATTATTTCATTGACTCTTCTTCTCACTTGTAAATATATAATAATGCATAAACTTATTTAAATAAATTTTAAATATTCAATATTGTAGTTCTGACGTATACATCTTTTCATGACATGGACCGACCTTTTTTTTTAATATTCGTTCTCCTAATCAATATCCAAATCGTATCTCTTTTATTTATCTTCTTGGGCGTACCAAATTCTCTCTTACTGGAAACTTGTAGCCCCTCTCCGAACATCATCTTTTGGTTTAAAAATATATATTAAATTCTGGTTAATATTGCTAACTATGACAAAATAATATAATATTCGTCAAACTTTTTTCGTATGTATGTATGTATGTATGTATGTATGTATGTATGTATGTATATGGCAATCGGGGATCCACAGGCATCTCGTGGCCTGGGCCTTTTTGGCGGTTGTCAACCCGCTTGCTTGGATCTTTCTGCATTTATTCATCCTTTGTATTTATGTGTATGCATTTAAATATTTCCCTTTCACATTCCTATTTTAAGTTTTTGATATCTAAATTAGTTAATATCCATCTATAAGAATATCAACAAGAACTTATACAAAGTTCAATGACAAATTCTTTTTTATAACGAAGAAGTTCATTGGGCTTTCGACCCACTTAACCTCATGAATGCGGAGTCAGCCTTTAGTCATACAATTAGTTGTGTCCCGCCTCCCCATTAGTGAAATCGAATCCAAGATTTCGAAGCGACTTTGTTACATCTCAATTGAACCACCAATTAGTGGGTTCAATGACGAATTTTACACTAAAAATAACAAAAATCCAATGAATCGATTTGGTGGCTAATACTCTAAAATTACTATATTATATAATATTAAATGCATAATCAATTTTATATATTTATCACAAATTATTATCTAATTCCAGGGCGTCCGAATACTGGAAATATCTTTGAAATGATTTAACAAAGGATAAGAATTATATTATAGACTCGTGTATAAATACACTTACAAAGATTACATAAATACTTACATACGTATGTATATAAATATATACATACGTATATATGATATTTGAGATGCATGCTTAGGAGAGAATTATGTCATGCCGCCCATTCTTATCCGAGGCGAGTAGGCATAGGTATCTCTAGCCCTTGCGCGTGATAGATAAGATATTGCAAGTTGTTAGAAAAAAAAGCTTGGAGAGACATGAAAATTAAATTCCCAAATCGTTCAAATCAATATAATTTTATATTTGTATATGTATGTAAACATACATACATATATATATACGCGATTTGTTGGATGTATATAATTACACATGAGATATGAGATGTGGGCAATTATTAAAAAAAAAAATCAAAAGGAAGACCACAAGTTGGGTTACAAGGAATGGCTCGAGGAGAACCGACCAAATTGCATGAGAGACTAAGACCGGTGTACGTACGTTTTTTTTCTCTGCGTGTGTGTATGGACCGCCCAACCAATCAGGCCGCCACAAATTTATTGCGACTTCGTGTCTTTACATTATACAAAATTACAAAATCCCACTTTTTCCATGTGGAGACAAAAAAAAAACTTAAAAAATCTCTATATTGTGACATGTTTGCATGAATGTGACGACCGTCTCTCAATTCTCGTTCTTCCGTTGTAAACTAACATTTTCTCACACATTACTTTCATATTGTTATCGGTATCTTTCGAAGCTTTACACATTAATTTGCTCGATTAAAAATCAATCATTTCAGAACCATAGGTAATGTTATAGCGCATATCGAACATTAATTTATGTGTCCCATAATGTGTTTGGACCACGGCATATCCTCGTGAAGAGGGTCCAAGAATCTGTCGACAAAGATAAGGAAAACCTACCTCGCGCTCGCGGACCGAGAGATTGGTTATACTGCCATTATGAGAAATTATTGAACGTTATAGGGCCTATATTTTAAATTAATTCGTTACCAAAAAACTTTTGATTCTCATCTAGTACGAAGAGCTCTTTGATTTCACAATCCTATATGCTATATGCAAGGGATTTATAATTTTGATTATTTGAGAGATACGGATGATTTTGTATAGATCGTGTTATTTGTTTGTTTCCTTTTTTCGGCATTATGGGTCTTATGGATTAATTAAGGGTTCGACTGGTTGTACCGCAGCGGTTGTGGCTGCGGGTGGCAGCGTTTTCAAAACGTTTGATAGCGATTATAAATAATTAGTACTGACTGGTTGAGAAGTTGCTGTTGGTAGCGATTGCGGGTAAGTGCAGTTAGAAGTGAATGGTTCATTACGGTTGCGATTGCGTTTTGATATAAATTGTCAAAAAAATATTATTTAAAAATAATTTTTTATAATAGTTTTAATTAAAATTTTCGTATCATTTGATAAAAATTATTTACTAAATTTATAATAATTAAATAATAAATTTAAAATATAAATATTATCAATTTAATTTATTTTCAAGTAAAAAAATAATTTTATTATAAAAATTATTAAAAATAATCATTATTAAACCTAAAAATTATACTATTATATTTTTTTTATTAAAATATAATACTAAAAAATAATATCAAATCATAACACTAAACAAAATCATCACCAATATATATATTAATATTTTATATAATTTCTAATAAAAATATTTTAGTTTTTTGTCAAAACGCCGGAAACCGCTACCAAAACGCAAGTTGGAAGCTGCGATTAGAAAACACAAGTTTGGATGCGGTTGCGGTTGGTTGCGGTTCAACCGCTCAGTTTTTCAATCGCCCGCAACCGCCGGAAATCGCAACCGCTCCGTTTGCGGGTGGCGGCGGTGCAACCAGTCAGCCCTTAATTATTATGACGAAATGAAACAGAAATAAATATTGGACTTCTAAACTAACATAAAATGTTGAGTTTTAAGTTATAACTTATTTAAGTGCATATCGCGATCGAATATGTTAATCTCAAGTAAAATTTGTTGTATTCTATGGTCGGTTTGTGTATATATGCAGGTGTAAACATCATATATAAATGTATGTATATATGTATGCATGACGTGAAAATGATGTATGCATGATGAAGTGTGCATGTGTGTGAAGACATATACACACACAACGTGCATACATATTCATCATATTCTCCGACTTTTCATTGCATGTAACAAAAATACCAAGCACATGATGGTGATGCCGCTTTTCATAATGATTTTTATTTTTATTTTACCCTGTTTTAATTTTGTGTTTGCTTGAATGTACCTCCGTGCGAGGACGATCGAATGGAAGTTCTTTCAAATAATTATATACATGTTTCATATTTATTTGTATTTACATAATTAGGGATATATATTATGGAATTCCCAATATTATAAAAAAAAATCACGTTTGGAGAAAAGATTCGGGGAGTGTGTGATGACGTGGGAGGATCTAATCGGCCGATAAAGAAGAGAAGGCCCACCATCACCGTCGGATTAAATGGCGATGGGTCAAGCCAAGATGCTTTGACTCTCTGACCGGACCGGACTGGACCCGACTCTGACGGTCCGTTGACTCTCTGACTTTTCAACTAAATGCGGATATCCACTAATTATGTTTCTTTTTTCTTCTCCTCGTTCTTTTGTTCAGTTTTTATGGCATCGAACCAACCCTTTGTCGCCCCGTCTTCCTGTTTTCATCAATTTCCATTTAGTTTTTGTAGTTCTCATGGATTACGTCACGTAATTATATTAATAATTATAATATTAATAAAACAATTTAACAGAACTGTTTCAGATATTCTCTTTGCTGATGGAATCAAACGTTTCCTAATAATTATATAAATTATATATATATATTCCTATGAGTGAGGGAGTGTATGTGCAATTATTTATATGTGGAAGAGCTTGTTGTCGTCGGATGAAAGAGGGTAATAAAGTGGTGGGACTCTTCCTTTCGCATGGAATGAAGATTGAATCATTCCTTATACGAGAGACTATGATATATCTTCAGTTGTATCTCGCATATTATTTATGGGTATTTGATTTCCAACCATATGTTATGCATATATATTCATATATTTTTTTAATGACGGTAGCAGTCGGGCCATGCCAATGGAAGTACTGTGATTGAAGTTTTGTCTCTTTGGTGTATAAAGAGAGATTAAATGGGAAGGCGGAAATCTCGTGAACCTTCGTCTGACAAACTGGCGTTGACTTTTATGTGTTATCTGTTTGTTTCTGCGAACTGTCAAGTCTTTCCAATGTCTTTTTGTACATATATATAAATTCCCTGCATACGTATCACACACACACACACACATGTCTGTAAATGATTATTCTCTGTCTGTTTGTATCTTCTCATATTTTATATATATATATATATATATATGTAATATACGTGTGTGTGTGTGGATTTGTCTATACACGTGTATTTACGGACTCTTTCGCAAGTCAACGAGTAAACATCCAAAAACGATAACAACTCGGTACGTGTGCTGTTGATTTTGATTTTCCATATGAATATTATATATATATATATATATATATACATATATATACATGTATATACGCATAGTAGCAGCAGAGGTATCTAGATAGGCTTTTCACGAGAATTATATATATTCTTCTGATAAAGTCGTCGAGGTTCTATTGGAAGCAGAAGAGGGATGATAAAACAAACATTTACACTTGCATGCATGCGCTCACATTTATGTATAAAATAATATATGGACCTAAATATGTGGGCCGAAAAAAAGTCATTTTCAAACCACATCCATTGTAATGATTTGGGGAAATAATAATAATAATGATAATAATAATAATAATAATAATTGCAGTACTCTTGTTAAAAACGCTCGAATATAAAGATAAATCAATTAAAGGGGTATTTCCCTCGTCGGGCTTTCTATATTTGGGCCACATGCCTTTTCATTTACGGGCCTTGTTAACGTTACTGGGCCCGATTTCATTATCTTTTAAAATATAAAAAAAAAATATCTAAACTTGGGAAGAAAATTCTAAAATGGGTATTTAAGCGACCAAAAGTTTGGCATGTTCAAATATTCACTGCCTTTATCAGCCATTTTTATATCTACCCTTACCACATTTGCAGCATCACCATGTATGTATATTGATATATTCAGGATTTACCTATTATATGCCGGAAATATCGAATTTTATTTACAATGTCAAATTTTTGTTATATATATATATATATTATATATCAGAATTTTTGTACATCTTTTGTTTTGCAAATTTATTTTTTACTTACATAACATTTATATTTTTATGATATTTTGGAAGGAATAAGAATCACTATAGAAAATCGGTACTTTTGATATTCTCATATATTAAAATAAATAAAGAAGAATGAAATTCGGATCTATCCAATAGGAAAAAAGATGATTTAAAAAAAATCACTTTGGGTAGCTGCCAAAAGGCGAAACTTTCCGAGACGTGTCGCGTGTGAGGTTATAACCGTAATTTCAGAAAATAAATCTTAACCATTAAGTCATCACGGTGTTTCCCCTCGGTTTTTAAAGACGGACGTGATCAGGTAGGTTAGGTTCTCTAATTCACGAACTGTGCAACTGTCGGATTCCATGGCGCAAATCCACGGCGGAGATGACGACGGCGATGGAACTAACGACGGCGGAGAGGTCGTCACCGGGGAATCATATTTCCACGTGATGCCGGAGGATAGCGTCTCCTGCATAATCTCGTTCACGACTCCTCGTGACGCGTGCGTTGTGTCATCGGTTTCGAAGATGTTCAAATCGGCAGCTCAATCCGACGTTGTCTGGGAGAGGTTTCTCCCATCGGATTATTCGTCTCTTGTTCCTCAATCTCTTGTCTTCTCTTCTAAGAAAGAGCTCTATCTCGCCCTCTCCGACAACCCCGTTCTTATCGACGATGGCAAAAAGGTACGCACCTATCGATCTCTCTAAGGCACCGTTTGTTTGTGCGATTTCAGTTTCGGAACTCGATTTGCGTATGGAAACTTCGATTTCGATAGAGGAATCTCGGAATATGGTTTGATTTGACGTTGTCTCTAATTCGTACTTTTACCCTGTGAATTGTTGACATTTCGAATTTGGAAGAGCTTCTGGTTGGAGAAACCGACTGGGAAGAAGTGTTATATGATTTCCGCCTTGGATCTCACGATCATATGGGGAGGTACTCCTTCATATTGGCAATGGATTTCAGTTCCTGAATCTAGGTATATACTATATACTTCATCCTCATTACTCATTCAATGTGATTGCTAGCTTGTGTGAGGTAGCGATGATGTCTCCGCATAAACAGGTTTGAAAGGGTAGCAGAGCTTCTCAACGTCTGTTGGCTTGAGATTCGTGGGAAGATCGGTGCAGGCATGCTATCTCTTGGGACACTTTACTCGATCTACTTTGTGTTCAAGACAACAGACAGATGGTACGGGTTCGACAAGGTGCCTGTAGAAGCTGGAGTAGGAGTTGTCGGGAGTGAAGCTTCTTCTCATAGATTGATCTGTTTCGATGCGGGGAGGGGAGGCAGTTTTCTGCGAAGGAGGCTGCGTCCATGGATTCATCCGAGGGTTTCTCGGGAAGAAGAGGAAAGAAGCAATGGGCTTGTGGAGCCGAAGGAGAGGGGAGATGGGTGGATGGAGGTGGAGCTCGGAGAATTCTTCAACAATGGGAATGGTGATGAGATTGTTGCGATCAATGTTCTTGAGACAAAGGGTGGAAATTGGAAGAGTGGTTTGATCGTTCAAGGCATTGAGATTAGGCCTAAAGAAGATGGCAACAACTAACGTGAATGCCCCCAAAGGTTCTCTCTTTGATGAAACTTCTGGTAATGGTTTGAGATTTGTGTCTCTCATGTGGTAATGCTTTGTGAAATGTCTGGGCTTTGAACTACCATAGTCTTTTTAAGTTATGTCTCAAACATTACATACATATATGCATATATGTGTTTGTATTATGAAGGTATCATTAAAGTAAATAATGTACTTTTCGATGTTAATCGAGTGGGGAGTCTTTTGCACTTTCGTTTATCAGACAAGGTGCATTTGTGAAAGCCTGAAAGGGTTGAAAAGGATGGTGTCGTGAGGGAGGGCTACATCTGTACTTTTAAAAGGTTTTAGGCCTTTTCGTTATGAATTTAAAAATACCAAGCCGCTTTTCCAAATTCACAAATTTCGTCCATGGCCCAATATCCAGGCCCATCAAGTTTTGTTAATGGGTCACTATTTTAGTATTCGGCCCATATTATCAAATGAACGCTCTCTACTCCATGACCAAACGTGATAAAATATTGCATGGTTTGACTCTGCACAGTGCACACACGTGTTTCTTGATTTTATGATAATCAATAAGAAAAAAAAAAAACCCGTACCTTAATTCTCTACGTAAAAAAAATAATATTTGTATATGCCATCGGTTAATAATTTAAAATTTGTTTCTTTTGACGCGAGACCAAATGTGAAAGTGTGCTGATTTGTTTAATAACACGTCGGTCTATGTCTACGTTCATTTCATCTTCCTCGCCCATTTTTAATAATTAATTAAAAAAAAGGTCGAGTAAATATTAAGAAGCTATAAGTAATTATTCTTGACGAGAGCAATCTTGTCCTCCTCACCAAACAGGTCTCCGGAGTTTCTTGTTCTTAATACACTATGATCAAGTTGTGCTTCAAAAGATTTTTCTATTTTTAGCAATTTAAATTCAATTTGACGGATTTTGTTGGACTTTCTATGAATCTATACCTATAGGATAAATTATTGGTCCAATCATTTGGTTACGCATATGATATTATAATCTCATACGCAACATTATGTGTTATACTAAAATCATGTTATTAATAATAACGTACAACTTAAATTCCGTAACAATTCTGTTGGAAATTTTGTAGATTATTCTTATCCCTTTTTTTCATATGTTTTTTCGTGTTTTCCGTACGATTAGAACGCCACACGCGGGGAATGTTCAATATATATATATATATATATTATATGGTACGAGTGTCTACAATGAATAATAGGTTCCAAAATCTATATGATATACATTCATTACAAAGCACATATATGTTATCCACTAGGCAAAGTGAATGAATTCCTATTGATGTATTGTCGACCATAGGTTATATTAATTTCCATCTATAAAATTCTATTTATACACTATACTTAAAAACGTAATTTTTAAATAAAAAAAAATGTTTTCAAAGATTTTGAGATGACCACATATGCTCGAGTAAAATGGAGGCAGGCATGCAACGTGTCAACGTCCTATCTTTGACTTTGCATTCGTCCCTTTGTCTTCATATGAAGCTGACCTAACCCTCACTTTCACCGGTTACAGCCCGATTCTCCGGTTATCCTTTTTTTATTCAACAAAATTACAAAAAATACGACGAACCAAAAAAAAAATCCACTTGCAAGAAGAAAACATTACTTTTTCAATTATTCCAGAGTCATTAATACATATAACAAAAAATACCTGATTAAAAAAATTCAATACAAATACACAAATTATTTCAATATATATATCCCGTCAGAAAAAAAAATTCAACTACAAAAATTGAAAATAACGAAATATGTTTATTTTATTTCAGAATTTTATAAATCTAAACTTCCATTGGAGGTTATTTTAGGTGGGAAACTTGCGCGTTTTCATAAAAAAAAAATGCAACACTTCGTAAACCGGTATATTTGGATATCTAATCTCCCTCACAAAAAAAATACCAAAAGAAATATATATATATATATATATATATATATATATATATTAAATGTCCACGTAACTAAAGATTTCTGACCAATATTTTCAATATTAGACTCGGTTTAAAAAAATCAGTAAATAAAATGTCAGTGATTTCAGATTTGCCGTTAAAACTATATTATTTGGAAAAAAAAAGAGTGTTTCTGGAATTGCTCTATTTTTCCAGGTCAAAATAATTGATTACGACTTCTAAATATTCAAATTTATAAAAGAGACAAAATCAGCAAATGAAATTAAACGGCAATAAAAGTAAGTAAGCTAATACATATATATAGATATATATATATATATATATCTATGTGGATCATTAACGAATTATCATTGGTCAATGAAAATACCGTCTTGCTTTTCCATCTTCTCTATTAAATGCTTGCTTTGAAGATTTTTTTAAAAAACTTTTATTTAATACGATAACAAAGAAATACCAAAAACAACTGCACCTCTCTTTCTCTCTCTACTTGTCTGGATTCAGACACCCACTTGCATAAGCGTGTTGAAGTCAAAAAGCCACCATCTTTCTCTCTCTCCCCTTCTCTCTCTCGTGCTCGCTCTTGCTTCCGTCTCGTAATATTCACCACATTTTGCTAAAATGGCAACATCCAGAAAACCCATGCCGGCCTCTCCAAGATTTGCCAAGGATTTAGCTCAGTTTTGATCCCGGCCGATACATACACCTATACGTACAGTCTCTCTTCCTCTAGATACCCTCAAGATTCAGCTCCTCTGGTGATTTCTCCCTTCAACGCTGAAATGCGTGCTCGAGATTGGTGGGTGATCGTCGTCCTCGTAGAACTATGCTTCTGGGTCTCGAATTCTCAGAACCTCACGTGCCATCCACGTGACCTCGAGGCCTTACGGGACTTCATAGCGAATATTGTCCCCAAACCAGATGGTTGGAGCTCGAATTCTTCCGCAGATTGCTGCGGATGGGTCGGAATCTCTTGCAATTCTTCGTCTTCGCTCGGTTTGAACGATCCCGGTAACACTGCCAGGGTTACTAAACTGGAGCTTGCGAGCAGGAGACTGTCGGGGAGGTTGTCTGAATCTCTGGGACGGTTGGATCAGATTAGGGTTCTCAATCTCTCCCGAAATTTCATCAAGGACTCGATCCCTCCGGCCATTTTCGATCTGGTAAACCTAGAAACCTTTGACTTGAGCTCTAACGATTTGTCTGGTCAAATCCCAGAGAGCATAAATCTTCCTTCGCTGCGAAGTCTGGATCTTTCCTCCAACAGGTTGAATGGTTCGCTTCCCGCGCATGTATGCCAGAATTCTTCCGAGCTTAGGCTTATCGGATTAGCGGTGAACTATTTCTCCGGCGAATTTCCATCTGGGTTTGGGAAATGTGTTTTGCTCGAACATCTCTGTCTGGGTATGAACAATCTCACTGGTAACATACCTGAGGACGTGTTTCATCTACAAAGGTTGAATCTTTTGGGCGTTCAAGTAAACAGTTTGTCTGGGCCGCTGAGTCCTGAAGTTGGTAATCTCTCCGGCCTTGTCCGTCTCGATATTTCCTCGAATAGATTCACTGGTGAACTCCCTGGTGGGTTTGGTAGGTTGCCCAAGTTCCAGTTTCTTATTGCTCACAGTAATGGATTCACTGGTGGAATCCCCAGTTCCTTGTCGAATTCAAGGACGTTGAACTTGCTTAACCTGAGGAACAACTCTTTGAGTGGTCCTTTGATCTTGAACTGCGCGGTCATGACTAACTTGACCTCTCTTGATTTGGGTACCAATAAGTTCAATGGCTCTTTGCCCGAAAATCTTCCATCTTGTAGGCAGTTGAGAAATGTCAATCTTGCCCGGAACACCTTCCATGGCCAGCTACCGGAGAGTTTCAAGAACTTCCAGAGCCTCTCTTATTTCTCGCTTTCAAATTCCAGCTTTGTTAATATCTCTTCAGCGCTTCAGATCCTTCAGAACTGCAAGAACCTGACAACTCTGGTCCTAACGTTGAATTTTCACGGAGAGGCATTACCAGATGACCCGAGTCTTCATTTCGAGAAGTTGAAGGTTCTTGTGGTTGCAAATTGCAGGCTCACTGGTTCAATGCCAAGTTGGTTGAGCAAGAGCACCAATCTGCAGTTGTTGGATCTCTCGTGGAACCGTCTGACAGGTGCTATCCCGAGCTGGATAGGTGATTTCAACGATTTATTCTACCTGGATTTATCAAACAACTCATTCACCGGAGAAATCCCAAAAAGCCTGACTCAGTTACCAAGCCTCATAAACAGAAACATTTCACTCGATGAGCCATCCCCTGATTTCCCCTTCTTCATGAAAAGGAATGAAAGTGCAAGAGCTCTGCAGTACAATCAGATTGTCGGGTTTCCGCCCACACTGGAGCTCGGTCATAACAATCTCACCGGACCCATATGGGAGGAATTTGGAAATCTCAAGAAACTCCATGTCTTTGATCTGAGGGTGAACAGATTGTCCGGATCAATCCCCAGCACTCTATCTGGTATGACAAGCTTGGAGGTTCTTGATTTGTCAAATAACAGTCTGTCCGGTTCAATCCCAGACTCTCTTCAAAAACTCACCTTTTTGTCAAAATTCAGCGTTGCTTATAACAACCTCTCGGGAAAAATTCCTTCTGATGGCCAGTTTCTTTCATTCCCGAGCTCGAGCTTTGAGGGTAATAACCTCTGTGGTGAGCATTGGATTCGGTGTCCGGAAGATGCACCCAACGGAGTCTCTCACACATCAATCAAACGGTCAAGAACCAGAGGCAGTACAGTTGGTATGGCCGTGGGAATATCTTTCGGTACCGTTTTCCTTCTCACCCTTCTGACAGTGATTGCCATACGTGCTCATAGACGATCAGTAGAAATTGATCCAGAGAAAGAGGAACCAGAGAGTACCACTGACAAAGAACTGGAAGAGATCGGATCAAAGCTGGTGGTTCTGTTTCCGAACAACGAAAACAACACCAAAGATCTTTCCTTTGACGATCTTTTGGACTCCACAAACAGTTTCGACCAAGCAAACATCATTGGTTGTGGTGGGTTTGGACTGGTTTACAAAGCCACGCTCCCTGACGGTAGAAAAGTCGCAATAAAACGCCTGTCGGGAGATTGTGGTCAGATAGAGAGAGAATTCAGAGCAGAAGTGGAAACACTCTCAAGGGCTCAGCATCCAAACCTCGTTCAACTCCAAGGCTTCTGCTTCTACAAGAATGACAGGTTACTGATATACTCGTACATGGAAAACGGAAGCTTAGACTATTGGCTTCATGAGAAAGTGGACGGACCGGCATTGTTGGATTGGAACACGAGGCTGAGAATCGCCCAAGGAGCTGCAAGAGGGCTCGTGTATTTGCACCAGTCATGCGAGCCTCATATCCTCCACCGTGACATAAAATCAAGCAACATTCTCTTGGACGAGAACTTTGAGTCTCATTTGGCAGATTTCGGACTTGCGAGGCTGATACGTCCTTACGAAACCCACATAACTACAGATCTGGTGGGGACATTAGGGTACATTCCTCCAGAGTATGGGCAGGCCTCAGTCGCTACGTACAAAGGTGATGTATACAGTTTCGGGGTTGTTCTGCTTGAGCTTGTAACAGGGAAGAGGCCAATGGATATGTGCAGGCCAAAGGGTTCAAGGGATTTGATATCTTGGGTCGTAAAAATGAAGAATGAGAACCGGGCAAGCGAGGTGTTTGATCCGTTCATCTATGATAAAGATCACGATAAGCAGATGCTTCGGGTTCTTGATATTGCCTGCCTCTGTTTGAGTGAGAACCCCAAAGTGAGACCAAGCACTGAACAGTTAGTCTCATGGCTGGACAACATGAAGACCTGACCAGTTGGAGAACCAAAAAAAGGGAAGATCTTTCTGCAGATAATCAGACACAAATATGTTCTGTAGGGTGAGATTTCATGCTCTGTGTAGATAATCTCCAGACAAAGCAGTTTTAAGTTTCGAAGTTCGGTTCCTCTTTTTGGGGGTTTGCAGTTCAGTTTCAGACGGGGAGACAAGATGGATACAGAGCAGAGATGCCTGCAAGCCTTTTGTATGCCAGAAAGAACACAGCATTGTTCGGAGAGTGCTGTTCCAAGGCATTTGTAAAGTTTTAACTGTTATAATAAGAAGCTTTTCTTCTCTATTCTTTTTCCCCCCACTCCTTGTGTAAACAGATGTATGGTATATATGCCATCGTTAACAGATGAAGTTTGTGTTGGTTCTTGAATGCTTTACCAAAATACCATATGCAAATGCACCCATTTGTTAAAATCTCATAATATCTATGTATTTTAACCCAATGATGAGAATTATTAGTATTTGAATAATTGCTATTTTTTCTTAAAATTTCAAAATTCATATAGCTCTTTTTTATATCATTTTAACAAATTAGTATATTCATATAAATTTTTTCTTTCTTCTGCATTTTATTTGGGAAAGTTTCAACATTTACTTCCTCAAAAAAAAAAAAAAAAAAAAAACACGAGTAATGTCGATGCCTTGTTACTTCTGCATATAAGATGGTGGTGGTTTGTGTTGACCCGCCATTGGATCCTTCATGTTGAAATGCCGAACGTTGTCTTTGGTAGTAATGCATGTTTTTTTTTTTCTAACGAGGAGAGTCATGGGTTGGACCAACCAAACCATCACTGTGTCGTGAATGCATCGTGTAAATTTTGGTCAGCAGATTTGAATTTGATATATAATTTCTAACTTCATGAATGGTAATGTCATAACTTCCAAGAATATATATATATATATGTATGTATGTATGTATGTGTTTGGTGCAGGTTTTGACTATGACCCAAACGAGCAAAGTGGTCAAGTGTGACAATTGCCTTAGCTTAATTTTTATGTTTGGTTTTCCATCCCTCGAAATCATATTCTTCTCCTAACGTGTTTGAGTGATTGTGCCAATATTGTATTTTGCAGTTTATTATTATTATTATTACAATTAATATTGGATAATATTATATTTGCTCTCTCACAAAAAGAAGTGCAACAAAGACTAAGAGCACTAAATCCCACCATTATGCATCATCTCATAAATTGATCTTTCAATCAAATGTAATGATTTACAAGAAAATACAAGTAGTGGTTATGTTGGCCTCGTGACGCCCGTAAGATCGATGTTTGCCACCCAAACACACATCGCTTTGCATTATTAATTAAATGCCTAGTTACAAACCACCATGACTCACATGATCTTATTCTTCTTTATTTGATAAAGCTAAGAAAATCATAATTGTAACAGAGATAATTACACATATATATATATATATGTTATGTTTATTTTATATTATATATTACTTGAAAATATTTAATCCGTAGCTTATTCGTTCGAACATATTCAATCACATGGGTTTTTCTATTTGCATTTGTTCAATCTTTTACTTTTAATATACGTCTATTTGAATAGAAAAATATAATCAAAACTTAGAACTAATCATCCATACATTTTTTTTAAAAAAAGGGTTATGATTGAGAATATATAAGATCTCATCTAATGAATGGTCTCTATGGAACAATGATGGGTTTGGTTGTGGAGAAAAAGGGTAATCGTCATTATGATTTTATGATGACTTTATTTGAATAAGAATGACATTAAGACATCCAAGATTATGGAGAGAAAAAAACACAAAGTCATGATGGGTTCCATGTCATTTTCCACTGCATTTAGTGCAATCTGTACTGTCTTTCCTAAATGTAAGTCACAAATATGTCATTTTCCCCTACATTTAGGGTTTTTTTTTAACTCCGTGCATCTCACGCGCTATATTTGCGCGTGTTCTATCTGTCCAATTGTTTACACAATATTGGGCCCTTATCCTATTGGACTGAGGAATTAATCTCGGGCCTAATATAAACTATTGGCTCATAAGCAGCCCATCAAAAATCTTAATTATAAATGTTACCCGGGTTTATCATTAATATCGTTCAAAATCGCTAGTAACAAAATTTCAAATCAAAATAATTGTGCAGGTAAAATTAAATTTTAATTCGCATAAAAGAAAATTGAAAGGGAGTTATATTAGACTCCATCAACCTGTTATTAATTATTATTTTTTATGTATTCTTCTACTATCTAATGTGATTTTTATTTTTCTACCGATAAACAACTAACAATATTTGAAAATTACAAAAAAAATGTATTATGTACGAGGTTACCACATAAATATAAGTTTTTAATAGCTTAAAGAAAATATTGATTTTCTTGAAAAAGAAAATGAATATTTATCTGATACATTGAAATTGAAATTCAATTGCGGACAGGTAAAAAAATATTAAAATTATTATTTCTTAACTGAGTATAGAAAGTAGTGTATATAATAATATCCTGTTGCTAGTTGGTGTTTTGCACGGGTATTACGTTGGTGTTAAAAAAAAAATATATATTAAAATTACGATTGATTGTCCCACGCGCCTGGAATATGGATTTCCCAAAAACAAGCAGCGCCGACGGACTACGCGCCATATGTGCGCGTGGTCAAATCTGTCAATATAAATAAATAGTGGGCTTTTATTAAGCCATTTAAGGGAGACTGATTTGGGCTTGAAACGGGTGCCGTACACAATTTCTAGCCCATAAACAGGCCCATTCTACAAACCAGCGGTTGATGATGATACAAAAACCCTTTTCGCACTGCCAACAATTTGAAGTTTGACAAAGAAAACGACACTACTTAATTCCAGAAAACAAACAGAGGCATTGAAAACCAAACATAAAGCAAGTGAAATTCGCCATTACAAGAGGGTTATGGGAGAAAGGGAGAGATACAGACAAGGTGACATCTGCTCGTAGGCAGCCTTTTACCATTTCAACTTGGCTGGGAAATACTGCAAACAAGACGATACCCATAGAGACTTAGCATATGAAATGATAGATTCCTTCTTCCTTGTGTGTTGTAGCATTCGTCTGATTGTGAACATGAATTATTATATCTTACTTTCTTTGAGTTTTGAGGTTTACCTTGTTGATGAGAGAGAGGTAATACGGCTTCACTTCCTCAACATTGATGCGGACTTTGCTCTTGCTGTACAGATCGTACTTGCTGTTCATCCATTTGGAGGTGAGAACACATTTTACAAGGGAACTGAAAGATTTCATGGAAACAGGGTTTAGTTCGGTGAGTGATTGATCGGTTTCATATACTTACTTGAACACTTCCAGCCATTTCAAGTTCTCTCTGTCTTCGTCATTCATCAAGTGCTTATACGCTCCTGATCTGTGCAAAGCTGTCGAAAGAAAACATCATAAGTGCCTTCATCATCAAACCATTTGATCAGAAGGTCTCACAACTTCCCTCTGTTTCCATTTGGTTACCGTAGAAAGAGTGGTATCTGATTATGAAAAGCCCGGCTGATGGCAATGTGGTTTCGTTCTCTTTCGCTACCTGCGATACAGATCATTGCATCAATGTTTAGGCAGCAACAGCAATTAAAAAGGAGACTGAATATGCAAAATTGAACATGTATAGACTATAGAAACTGTAACTACCAGGTACATATAATCATCGTGTCCCCAGGACATCAAAACATTGTCAAGCCCACAACTTTCAGAGTATATCCCATATTTCGTGTTGTAAGCAGGATTGTAGTAATCCGGGTTCTCCTTAAAGTGCTGCACGAGAAAGCAAAACAGCTCAGTATGATCCAGGGTCGGGATGTTAAACTCGAAACTTCTAAATTGTTCAAGAATTTATACCTTGTGGTGAACAATTGATTCATCGAAGGCACATCCCACGGGATATGTATCTCCTGTAGTTGTGGTATGATAGGTTAATGTTTCAGAGACCAGAGTCTGTTTTATTAAGAACAATCAATTCAAAATCACACTTTACCAACAACAGCCCATTGAGGGAGCTCGCCAAATGCAGGGTGAAGGAGGACCTTTCCAAGATCTGAATCACATAAAGACCACACAAAAATTAACCCAAGAACTGATTATAAACTCTGATAATCATCCATCTATCGAAGCTAATCATATTAACCATGGATAAGACCCGTCAAGTGGAGCCAATCTTCATCAGGATAGTCTTTCCTGATGGCCTCAGCCGTTTGTAGCAAGTGCTCGATCTGAGGCTCATCCAAATCAGGGTCACTCTCATCGACAAACTCATTCAGAAGTTCACAACATTCCCATATGCTCATCTCAATTCGGTTGAGCTTCCCATATTCGTCTCTCATTCTCCTCACGAAATCCACAGTTTGGCCAATGTGATTGGCTCTGTAGAATTCTTCCACACCTCCTCTTCTCTCACTCTCAGCATCGTAATCCCTATTCCAAGGAAATACCCAAAACCCATCAACACAGAGTCCATAAACAACTTTTAACTCCATAGATGGTAATTCACACGATTCTAGGATCATTGGAAAAAAGTCGAAACCTTACATTGCCTCACGGCCCTAATCTAACATAAGCTCTTCTAACCTTAATAACAAGCACGTTATCAGACAATTAAGCGGACATTCACCAAAAAAAAAATGATAAAGCAGAAAGACCTGAAGGTGTGACCAAAGGAGTTGGTGTGAGGAACCACAAAACCTCCATCTAACACCAACTGTGTCTCCTGCACCTCTTCATTCTCCCGATTCATCTCAACGTCCTCTCCTCCTGCAACCTCAAAAATCGATCTTTTATATCAGAAAATGAAATCATCCTCGCAATGAATTCAAATCCACAAACGCATGTAAAGGGAAACCAGCAATCGTGCCAAATTCCACGGAATAATCCAGAATTTCTACATCTAAAACCAGTTTCAGTGATAAACGAAGAAATTATTCAAATAATTGGAACCCAAAAAAGATAAGAGGGAGACAGAGAACACGAACCATTGTGATCAGAGTGGCGATCGATGAGAATCGTCATGGCGGCCAAAATTCAGCAACAACGGGAAACAAAGAAGGGAAAGGGGAAATGGGATTAGGGTTTGCTGACGGTGAATCGGAGGAAAATCCATGAAAGTATAAATAGGTGGGAAGCGAGTCCTGAAGTGAGAATAAGAGAAGAATTGAGTCCTTCGCCATTATTTTCATCGGAAGGACTTGCGAGCCCTTCCATGAAAAAAACGCTCTTTTATCTTTTCCTTTTTGTGAATTTTAGGGATTTGGATTTTGTTAGGGTTCTTGCAGAGGATAGCTGTAAGTTGAGCCGAGTGAACGGATAGTGTGTGATATTATCCGAGGCTGAGCTGGCACCGTCCCTACGTTTTTTTTTTTTGTTTTTTTGTTAATGACCTACGTTTCCTTCTCAGCCATTTGAAATAAATATTTTTTTCTCACAAAAACAATATATATACATTTTTTTTTTGGTAAAACAATATGTACACGTGTGACAAACAAATGTTATCCGCCCAGACCTCAACTCAATATTTTAAATTTTAACCAAAAAAAAGGAGGAAAATATCTCTGCCGACGATACGAATATCATGTGATGTTATAATATAACTTGGACATATAAAGTCTATAATGTATGTGTAATGGTGTCACACGTGTGAACAACTTCGGCCTTAAAAAATTCCAGGTTGAATAAATGGCGCGAACGTGGACCGACCACCGGAAGACGCAACTTCCATCGATTTCTTTCGTGTCAGTCTATGGTGGGTCCCATATGACGTCGTATCGAGTCAATGAGAAAGACGCTTTTGTCCCTTTCCCCTTCCTTCGCCGTCGTTCCTCGAGAAGCGTGACTAAAACTAAGAACCGTCAGATCTATCATTGGAATCTTGTCGATCCGACGGCGGTGATTGATTTATGTTTCGTACCGTACCGCAGCTTAGCTTCAAGAATATTAGGTTCCGTGATCGTGAACTCTTGCCGAGGCTCTAAACCTCTCGATGGATGATGGTACGGCTCGGAACCTAGAGGTAGTAAAATCGTTCGATTACGTCATTATCTCAAAAACCTATTTCCATCCATCTTTCCACATCTTATGACGTAGGATAAGATCCATCACCATTGTGTTAGGCCCGAAATTATATTTGCCATTCGGACCAAAGATGGAAACATGCCCACCCACTTCGGGTTCTCCCTTAACACAGTAGTGGAGCTTAAATGCAACCGCCGCACAGAAACATTAATAGCTGCGGATAACTTGAAAAATTGAGGTAAAATCATTACAACATGATTCGAATATTATTACGTGCAACAGATAGTCATTATGGTCTGGGGTCCAACTACTTGTCCGTCCTACATCTCAAAAAACTGAAAGAAGAGGACGGAACCTAACTTCCAAAATGACGGGGGGAAGACTGGTAGGTCAAATTACCAATTGCTGTTATATTCATACAGCATAGGAAGGAGTCGAGCCCCCACCCAAATCAAAACATGACAGCCAAATTTATATGCCCAGAAACGATGATCATGAAAAGTTCAACCCGGAATCTCAACAAGATCCAGGGTATTTTTCTTTCTACCACAGAGCTTTCGATTCACATAAACCACCTTATAAGTTTAACAATTAACATATACATATCATGAGAAGATTATGGAACAGTCAGAATAATATTCCCTCCTTCATAGAAGAAACAAACGACACTAACAACAATTCATTTAGTTTCAACTCTTTACATGTTTCTCTCTGCTTCAGCATTATTTTTTTCCAACGCTGTTATCTACGTTTTGAGGGAAGAAAGGAACAGCAACAACAACCGCCTGGTTTTAGAATCTACACGGATTGGTTTCCCCGCATCAACCAAAAGGCAGATCAAAACTTTTGATCTCAGTTGCTCCTTCAATGGATACATAGACAGCACATATCCATTTTCAAAAAGAACCCCGCCTTTACGCTCAGCGGATCTGATGGTACTGCGTGATTCCCCGCTTTGGTGGTAGCTTTCTCAAGATAAAGAGGACCAGTGAGGAAGGTAATATCTCGACCAACTGAAAGCGACGACAAACATTAGATTATATGAGTTTATTAGTAAACAAACCTTGACTGATTCATAATAGGCTCTCTACTACAGTGATCCACAAGGGTACTACACAGAGCTTACCAGATAATATATGAAGTTAAGGATAGGGTGATCCAACACATCAAGGTCCGCATCACCGTCGAAAGCATCAAAGCACATCTGCACCACGAAACATATGATTAAACCTTTGGTTAGCTCTGACTTTTAAAAGCCTCTCTCTATACATATATATATACATACATATATTTGTTTTGGAAAGAGTTCATTGAACACAGTATGGATTGAAAGTTCATCAACATTTTTGATGTCATGTTACCATGATGCATCTGATGAGGAAACACGTGGAACATATGGTCGTCACATAACCAACCTGCCAAACATACAGACAGAGAACTCAATTAAACATGAGACAGGAAACTTGATAGATCAGACCTCAAATTGGTTTACAATAGAAGTTTCACCTCCTGCAACTTTTTGCGCCTCCCTTTAGATTCTACAGGAAAACGTTGTAGCATTAGGAAAAGCCTGCGAAAAATTTAACCATTGAAGACAATCTATCAAGCCATACTGCAGTAGAGCCACCAGTGAATTGTGTAAAGATACTACACAGCTAGCTATTTCAACCAAAAAAAGAAGCAGCTAGGCCGGTGAGTGGTCGGTAATGACCAAATTCATTATTATTAAGTCAGCCTCCGTCAGACATCAAGACAGTATGGGTTGAGATCTTGGTGATAAGTGATATCAACAACACATTCATCGTGGCAGGAAGACAGGTTCAGCAAATGTATTATGTACGAGGTTACCACATAAATATAAGTTTTTAATAGCTTAAAGAAAATATTGATTTTCTTGAAAAAGAAAATGAATATTTATCTGATACATTGAAATTGAAATTCAATTGCGGACAGGTAAAAAAATATTAAAATTATTATTTCTTAACTGAGTATAGAAAGTAGTGTATATAATAATATCCTGTTGCTAGTTGGTGTTTTGCACGGGTATTACGTTGGTGTTAAAAAAAAAATATATATTAAAATTACGATTGATTGTCCCACGCGCCTGGAATATGGATTTCCCAAAAACAAGCAGCGCCGACGGACTACGCGCCATATGTGCGCGTGGTCAAATCTGTCAATATAAATAAATAGTGGGCTTTTATTAAGCCATTTAAGGGAGACTGATTTGGGCTTGAAACGGGTGCCGTACACAATTTCTAGCCCATAAACAGGCCCATTCTACAAACCAGCGGTTGATGATGATACAAAAACCCTTTTCGCACTGCCAACAATTTGAAGTTTGACAAAGAAAACGACACTACTTAATTCCAGAAAACAAACAGAGGCATTGAAAACCAAACATAAAGCAAGTGAAATTCGCCATTACAAGAGGGTTATGGGAGAAAGGGAGAGATACAGACAATATACAATTAGTAAAGAGTTACCTTCCTCCATACAGTAAAAATCCCAGGGAGGCAAACAACGAAACACCTGCATTTATATTCAGGAAGAAAGTGGTGAAAAGGGTAGCTGAATTAAAGATGATGTACTTTTTGTTCATGGATGAAATATAATCCAAGCAATACCTGCAAAGAACATCTTAGACAGGATCACCATAACAGGGACAGGCTTCCACCACATTATCAACCAAAGAGCAATCTGAAATTAATATATCCAAAAGAGACATTTAAGAGAGTGGATAGCCATGTCAACCAAACACAACGAATGGAGGCAATCTGTGAGCAAGCTCAAGGCTCCTACAAAATGGAAGCTTAATTTTGAAGTGTGAACATTTCTTGGAGATTGCGATACCAAAAGAGAAAGCCTATTTCACCTGAACAACATATACAACTGCATTAATTGTGAAGAAACTTGGCCTCAGCCCATCAGTGGATACTGCACGCGCCTGTTTCGCCAAAAAGGGTCAAGTAAAGGTCAGTATGAATCAACTGGAAAAGAAAGAAGAAGAAGAAAATAGACAATGTCAATTATCACCTGATAGTAAATTTCTGCCCAGAAGAGGACCAGAAGTGCATAGGTCGTGTAAAAAGCGAGACTTGGAATATCTAGCAAAATATGTTGCAGAATCTACAAGATAACCAGTAAGACTTACAAATTTAGAAGGTTTGCATAAATCATCAATTAGCTTAATCACAACGTTGATCAATATTCCAAACCTCTGGATGCAGATACTGTACGTCCCGTCTGAAGACAAAAACCACGGCTCGAACTGCAATATCGAAAATCCGCAGTCACCACCAGATGCACATAATCAAATTGGATACGCGACAAGCAAAAATTGAAGTTACATTTTGCGGCACCGACCTCCGTTCACCAAGAAATTGAGAAAGTGGAAGACTTTCTGAGTCGTCCACCCGTATTCTGGAACTCTCAGCTGTATTCTCACCAGTTGAATCTTCCGACAAAAAGAAAAAATCAATCTAATCAATATCCTCCGCGAAGTACAAACAAATCTTCAATGCCTCTAAAAGTACTCTCAGCGGCGATCAGGCCAGGTAAAGATCGAGCAATGCAAAGCATTTATTTATCGATTCAACACCCTAGAATCCCTAATCGCGCCATATTCTAAATTCACGTCACATCCAAATCCGATATGGAAGCTCTGCCAACGATAACCTAAATCCGGAACCGGAAGCTCGGAACCGTACCAGGGCAACGACGGAGACGATTCCGTAAAGCACAGCGAGGACGTGGAAGATACGATCCTGCCACACCGGGGACTCGTTAACGTCCGACCACCAATTCGAAGCGTCCTTCAGATTAAGCGCCACAACCTCCGCCGCCGATGACATCAGCCCCGACGAAGATGACGACATCTCCACGCCGACGCTTCTCATCTCCGGCGATAAATATTCAGATTCCTTCAGGAAAGCTTATGATCTTCCTTAACTCGCAGAAGATTCGAAAAAGAGAACCTATCGATTCACCTCTCCTCCTTCCTTCTTCCCTTTTCTTCGGTTTCTTCCTTCCCTCCGTCCCGTGTTTTTTTCCCCCTCTTTTTATTGGTTTTTTTAGGGATTTTCCCGAAATAAGGAGAAACCGTCGACGACGGGGAAGAGGATGGTGACGGGGACAAAATCGAGGAGCGAGTATAGAGGAAACCGGCAGTATCCGGTAATTTTATGGCGGTGACCGACACGTGACACGTCATGAAGGTTCCACCTGGCGAGGTGGATAAAGAGCAATGCCTTGGCAGGCTGGCTCTAGTAAAATCAATCTAAACATGTGCGTGGAAAAGTCTTATGCATGTGGATAAACTTAACTCTAATTAGGGAATTAATTAAGTTAATCTGTTATTAATTAAAGTGTATATTGCATATCATGAATCCGCGTATTTGACTTTATTATATGAGAACGCATATGGTTGTCAAAATATAAACAAATTTATTAGAGAACAATCTAACACGTTAACAATACAATATTTTTTTTAACATGTAGCTTGGTACGCTTCTGTCTCCTTGAAATAATTTACCTTAATTATGATGCAAGAGAACAAATTAAGATATTTCTTTGCCAGACAAATTTTCATGTCTTTTTTTGTATTTATTTATGGGCTCTTTATGTCTATGGGCTTATAAGATCCAAATTTGCTTCGGCCCAGGCCCATAAGTTTATAAATCTACCGAAAAGCCGTACAGAGAAAATTGCGAGAAGAGAAAATGAAATCGTCGAAAGGACACAAAACCCAGAGTTCATAAACCCTACTTTCTCCCTCCTCTCCTTCTTCAGGTGCCATAGCTGAATAATAATACTTCGATACACCATTAGAGATGCTGTCTCTGACCTAAGGATGAAGCTCTTCTTATCCCTCTTCGCTATCTTATTCAAAATGCTCTTTTCTCTGCGCAACTTTTTTCACGTTAATCGAAGATTCCACGCCCATGTAAGCTGTTCTTCCTCCCCACTCTTTCGGAATCAGAGTCCATTCTCTTACAATCTACCATCCCAAACTTCCCTTATGTCTTGTCCATTCGTTTGGTTCACTAGTTTTCTCTGCCTTATACGGTACCCTTTCGTTAGTAAAAGCGGTTCTATTAGCTATTGCGAAGATCTCGATAGGGATTGGATCCGTAAAGTCGTTCAGCAAGACCTATGGGGTGATCCCAAAATGGAAAAGCTTTTCGATTCATCTTTGGCGCCGATTTGGGCGACGAGGGTTCTAGTTGAATTGAAGGAAGACCCGAGATTAGCTTTCAAATTCTTCAAACAGGCGAGAACCCGAAGTTGGTTTCAGCACACGACCGAATCGTATTGTATAATAGCGCACATTCTGTTTTGTGCCAGAATGTACTCTGATGCCAATAGTATCCTTAAAGAGATGATTTTGTCTAGAGCTGGGTTTCCAGGCTGCGACAGCTTTGATGTTCTATGGTCAACGAGGAATGTATGTGCTCCAGGTTTTGGGGTGTTTGATGCTTTGTTTAGTGTTTTGATCGATTTGGGAATGCTTGAAGAGGCGTGCCAGTGTTTCTCTAAGATGAAGAGGTTTAGGGTCTTTCCGAAAACACGGTCTTGCAATGGTTTATTGCATAGGTTTGCAAAGTTGGGAAAGACGGATGAAACCAGGAAATTTTTCAAAGATATGATTGGTGCTGGTATAACCCCATCGGTTTTTACTTACAATATAATGATAGACTATATGTGCAAAGAAGGAGACTTGGAAGCTGCCATAGGGTTGTTTGAACAGATGAAGCATAGGGGTCTGATTCCCGACACTGTCACTTATAATTCACTGATTGATGGGTACGGGAAAGTGGGTCTATTGGAAGACGTGGTTTATTTGTTTGAGGAGATGAAGAGTATGGGTTGTGAGCCCGATGTTATAACATATAATGCGTTGATCAACTGTTTCTGTAAATTTGAGAGAATGCCGAAAGCTTTCGAGTTTTACAGTGAGATGAAGCACAGTGGTTTGAAGCCGAATGTTGTGACTTACAGCACTTTGATCGATGCTTTTTGTAAAGAGGGCATGATGCATCAAGCTATCAAGTTTTTTATTGACATGAGAAGAGTTGGCCTTTTGCCTAATGAGTTTACTTATACTTCCCTTATTGACGCAAATTGTAAAGCTGGTCATCTCGCAGATGCTCTGAAGCTTGCAAAGGAGATGTTGCAGGCGAATGTTGAATTGAATGTTGTCACTTACACTGCACTTATTGATGGTCTTTGTGATGAAGAGAAGATGAAAGAAGCAGAAGAAGTTTTCAGTGCAATGCTGAAAGCAGGTGTCATTCCAAACCTTCAAATCTACACCGCTCTGATTCATGGACTTGTCAAAGTTAAAAATTTGGAAAGAGCTCTCGAGATCCTAAATGAAATGAAGGGAAAAGGCATTACGCCAGATTTATTGATGTATGGGACTATTGTTTGGGGTTTGTGCAATCAAGAGAAGGTTGAGGAAGCCGAGCTAGTGATGACTGAGATGAGGGAACTTGGAATAAGAGCTAATCCTGTAATTTACACAACGCTCATGGATTCTTATTTCAAGTCAGGCAAACCCACTGAGGGTTTGCATCTCCTTGAAGAAATGCAGAATCTAAGTATTGAGGTCACAGCTGTTACCTTCTGTGTTTTGATTGATGGATTGTGTAAAAACAATTTAGTTTCGAAGGCCATCAACTATTTTGAGAGGATAAGATACTTTGGTCTGCAACCTAATGTAGCGATATACACAGCCATAATTGATGGTCTCTGTAAAGATGATCGCATCGAGGCTGCAAAGGCCCTTTTCGAGGAAATGGTTGAGGAAGGGCTAGTTCCAGATACGACAGCTTACACTTCTCTTCTTGACGGTAATTTAAAGCATGGGAATTTTCAGGAGGCTCTGGCCTTATGGGAGAAAATGGCTGAGACTGGGATGGAGCTTGATTTACATGCCTACACTTCGATGGTTTGGGGATTGGCTCAATGCAATCAGTTACAAAGAGCAAGAGAATTCCTTGAAGAAATGATAACTAAAGGAATTATTCCTGAAGAGGTTCTGTGTATCGGTGTTCTAAAGAAATACTATGAGCTAGATTTTATAGATGAAGGTGTACAGTTGCAGAAGTATTTGATGGAGAACGGCATCTTGGATGGTGACTTCAAATATGCAGTTCCTAACATTCAAACCTGAATGTGCAAACTTTTCATCTCTATTAGCGGGTAATGAAACTTGTCCAAGCATTTAGATCCTAAGCTTACCTTTCTTCTTCTGGGGACAGAAGGAGAACAACCCGGGTATGAAAGCTCTCTCCTGAGCTTCTCAATCTTTTTCTCATCATAAACACCAATTGCAGCCACATATCCCAGCGGGTTAAGGATTAAAACAAGACAGCATACTTGATGGAGGTATCATACACTTTATATCACTGGATGTGGTGATGGTGAATGCGATCTGGCTTGGGTTATATGTAAAGTTAGGTTCTTTCAATGTGGATTTAGGGTCATTGAGAAATTACCTAGGATTTGAGCAAGTCCTCTTTGAGCCTAAAGCATTGCTCGTCCATGGAAGGTCGAGGAAAGTTGCAAGCTTTACCTAAATGGGAGTGGGGCTATAATCTTATGGAATGAATTCTCTGACAACAGACTCAGAAATGTTAGGAGAGCGAGGACAGGACCAAAACAGTTGCTGAAAAACCGAATAAGGAAACTGGAAAGCTTATCTGAAACTCATCTTCTGCCAGTCATGATGGTGAAACAGAGAGCATGACCTGATTAGGTTTGATGGTTTCTTCACATTGCTAAATGGTATGTCTTTATTCCATTATCTAATCATACACGCCAGTCTACATGGATAAACCTCGTATGGCATCTTATATTAACACATGTATTACCATATCTTTTACGAAGGGGTTGTCTTGTTTTGTTTGACAGGCCCGAGGTCAAGGTAAGAGAAGGAGTGAAAGCTGATCAATATGGTTGCTTGCGGAAGGGGTTAGGGTTCTTTCGTGATGAGTTTTATTGTTACATTTGCATATTGAATGGAGACTATAGGGGCCAACCCTAACTACCTTGTACATTTTTTGTCTTTGCACATTCAATTGTTATTATACGATGGCAATTTCTCTACCAACAAAATCTGTGAAATGTATGTATATATATCCTTTTAATGCGACAACAACGAAAAAATCACAGCATTCGTTATTAATTTTGGGCCAAGTAATTTCAAATAGATACAAAACCAAGAGTTTGAAAATATATATGTATACATGTATATTGATGAACTAATAACGTTTTAAGTAACAGAAATTAAAGTGTAAAAGATATATTGGAAAACCTTGGAGGGAGGAAAATATAAGGGTTGATGGGTAATCTTCCATCAACGAGACAAATGTTCTCGCATTTCATCAAGGGTAATAATGTCTTTTACTTCTTTTTTAAGGGTAAAATGGACATTTGATAATTGGTTATAATATTTTGGTGTATCACATAAATCATTGCGACCCAACTGGGTCATTTCTGGTGTTTTCCCCTCCTTCGGCGCACGATAAGCTCAGGTACGGTTTCAGGCTCGGATCCACTCTCTCCCCCCCTCCCCTCTATTTAGCCGGTAATCTCTCTCGTACTGATATACTGCCACTTTAGCACGAAGAACAAAGAATGATAGAACAAACGAACGAACGATCAATTCTAAGCTCGAGAGATGCAATTTCTCGAAGATCTTGCGTCTCTTGTTGTTACACCTGCGTTGGACAATGGTTGATTCTTGAATCCGCGGCTCTGATTATGGGTTTCTCTGGTTTTGTGCTTGATTCGGCTGCGAAGAAATGGGGGCTAGGGTTCCGGTGCAGCATTACAACTTGAGATCGGCCGATTCCTTCATCGGAAGCTCTCTCCACGACCTCAACACCGTGGATGGTCCGCCGGGAGATATTGACGGCATCGGCGGCGCCGTCGGTCGTGACGGCGTTGACGGAGACGGCTTGGACAACGCCGGAAATTCTGCTTCTGTAGTGAGTATTTTTCTTACCTGGTGTCAGTTATATATCCCTGGTTAGTTCAACCTTGAATTGAATTGTGGGTTTCACATGTTTTTGGCAAAAATTACCATAGTGAGTATCTGAGAACTATCCATGGATTTGGCAGTCATCAACTCGATTTGTGTTTGTTTAGGAGTGTATGCACGAATCGTACAGAAACGCTATTCAAATTCACAATGTAGGAGTTGAAGAGGGCCGCACTAGCATGGAAAACGACGGGTCTGCAGGGGCTGTTTACCCTATCCTAACCACAGAGGGTAATGATCGTGGACTACTTTATTAGCCTCTCGAATTGGCCTCTCGAGTTTATATGAACTGCTGAGCTTTTCGATTCATTAACATTTTGCAATGCTATTTGACTTATAGATGTTTCTCCGATTGAATCAGCAAGAGCAAGATTCCTGCAAATAATTGTGGACTACTTTATTAGCCACCATGTGATTGAAGTCACTGAGAACGAGGTTGATTATGTTACGGATTCAGGTCGAGAGAAAGTCAAGAGGAAGACGAATGATACACAATACCAAGGTGACCCACGGTATGCATTGCCGCTAATGTATGTTGCAAACTTGTATGAGACTTTAGTCAATGAAGCAAATGAGAGACTTGCTTCTTTAAATGGAATACGAGAGAAGACCATCGGGGTAGCTCTCGAAGCAGCAGGTGGGCTGTATCGAAAACTGACAAAGAAATTTCCTAAGAAAGGTAAACAATTGAAAGAGAGCTGAAAAGCAAAAAGTTTTGTCTTACCCCTTGCAGACAACAGAGATTCAGAGTTTGAGATGATTACAATTTTTTTTATAAGTGGATTTGTGATTCATGCTTTCCATATACAGGTACTTGCACGTATAGAAGAAGAGAGCTGGCAACTTCACTTGAAACAAGAACGAGGTTTCCAGAGTTGGTTATACAGGAAGAGAAACGTGTTCGATTTGTGGTGGTCAATGGTTTGGATATTGTGGAAAAACCAGAAAACATGCCTGCGGAAGATGCCGAATGGTTAGATGTTCAATGATCGGATTTTCCTGTTTTCAATCTAGTATGAATTTATCACCGTGAGCTCTGTTATTTGTCATTTATGGTTATCTAATTCTAAGCTTATCATTAGGGTTTCATGAATGTTTTTCAATCAATGCACCATTGAATATTGTCATCGCAGGTTTAAGCGTTTGACAGCCCGGACTGAAGTGGCTGTATCTGCTAGAGACTACAAGTTCTATTGTCCGCGACACAAGCACAGGCGTATTCCAAATTCCATGTCCAACATTCCTGGCTTGCCTGTAAGCGTTAATTTTCTCTCCTGAAGCAATCATCATTTCCTTTTTACCCTTTCCCAACTCGGCAGTATTGTAATTCCTATCTCTGTTCTGCAGTCATTCCCAGGGATAGACTCTTCAGCAATGGCCAACCCTAAAGGATTTCGTTCTGTTGGTGATGTATGTGTTTCTTCTCTGACTTAATCTCAAGCGCTTCTGATGTAGGCTTTATGTCAGTTATATAAAGCAATTGCATGTCGGTTCTAAGTGTTGAACATGAACAGATGTTTATTTACCTTTCCGATATGGGCACTTGAGCTTTTTATAAACCATCTTTTGATAATTGCAGGATCAAAGCCAACAGCAAACACCTTCCAAGCATCACATGTCACAGATGTCTCACCAACCTCAGTTTCATCAAACTATTCACCAGAGCCACCATCATTCTATTCACCAAGGAGGTCAGCACACCGCTCATTATTCCCAGGACCATCCTTCAAACATGCCCGAAATGGCTCACACCCACCAGTCGCCATCCATTTCTCAGCACATGGATTGCTTGCAACCCCTCACCGGTGGTCATATCACGACGGGCCGGTTGCATATCATGGTACGCCTTCTTTTCGTACGATATCAAACTCCGTGATCGATTTGAACTGTCTCTGTTGAAAATTTTGATACATTTGTTGTTGTAATCCACAGCCAAACAGCCCAGCGAAATTCTGCGACGAGTGTGGGGCACAGTACCTCAGAGAAACCTCCAAGTTCTGCTCTGAGTGTGGTTCCAAGAGGCTTGGAATATGATGCCACCCCAGCTCTTAAGATACGAAAAAGAAAAGCTTGCAATTGAAGGAGGAGAGGATTCAGAGAAGTACGCAATTACAGAAGCAGAGGCGGTTACTTGGCCAGAAAGCAACCGAGTTCTTTTGAGTTTAGTCTATGAGATATTTGGTCAATTGTGTACATAATAACTATGTAAATCTAATGTAACCCTCCCAATCCTGTCTTGTTATCGTTTTGAGCCATTTTTTGTTTCCAGTGACTTTTTCCTCCGATCACCAAAATGAAAAGTACCCATCTACTCAAAGACTATATTTTTTTTTTTCGTATAAGAAACAGATAAATTTAGGACAGATCATTAGGTGCAATTACATCACAGAATAAAAGGAATTAGACACAAAAGAAAAAGGACCACATAATTAAACATGTGAAACTCTTGATTCTTGGAGCAGACAAAGAGAACTCAGTTAATTCACGGCACTGCAGATCCGTCGGATTTGGCCGGCGGAGCCAGTGAGAGGGTCGATGTCTGCCATCTTTACCATTGCGGCGGCGAAATCAGAAGCGAACTTAGAAGGGTTTCTGCTATATTCCGACACAACACTGTCAGTGGCTGCTCCCCTGCCGAACAGGACCTGATCTGTCGCGAGAAGACCTTTCTTCTGCATCAAGTTTCTGTAGTAATTGTTGTCGAAAGAGTCAGGTGTCACCATGTCCAAATCCTCCATGTTCCTATCTCCCCCTGCAGCGGGGCACCTTGTCTTCCGAGTTGCGGCAAATCCTCTGTCGATATCGCTCGAGTTGTCGTAGAGCCTCTCCCTGAACAAGAAACATTGAGCTTTTCCTATCGTGTGAGCTCCTGCAATGCACATAGGTTTCTCTTGAGTCAAGCAATCTATACATATACGTATATAACCGTACGTGGGAATGAAATGATATGATGGACCGACCAGAGAGAGCAACGAAGTCTCTTGTGTCGAGACCCTTTCTAGAGAAGAGACGGGTGAGTTGGTCAAGACTGTCCTTAAAGCTAGGGAGCTCGCCTCCATCAGCCAGAGCCTTGAACGCTCTCGTGGAATCCCTCCTCCCGAGCTTCACTGTCCATTTCGGACCACCCACCTGGAAAAAAATACAGCATTTATAATTAAAGAATCCATGCATGAGCCGTTGTATATATCAAAACAATGCATTATATATATAGAGAACAAAAAAGGAAAATGGCGGGGTTGTGTACGGACGTATTCAGAAGCATCCCTAGCAGCGACAGTGAGGATATCAGCGCAAGAAACGACGCCTGGACAGATTTTATCGACTTGGGATTTAGCCTTTTCGATCACTTCATATCCTCTGACTGATCTGGAATTCGGCACAGCTTCTCTTTCGCTTTCCATTTTCGGAGTTGCCTCCAGCAAAATCGACGCATCGCAACCCTGCACGGATCAGAGAGAGCCGAAACACCAGACTTAGCTCATATACATATATGCATGTACATAAAAAAAAACTGTATATACGGTTAAATGTACACAAGAGAATGCATGTATGTAGAAAAACACGTTACATTGACAAAGCAGTCGTGGAAATGGAGACGGATGAGAGAAGCAGCCATCCTACGCTCACGAGCAATGGCGGTCCTGATGGAAGATCGGATCGTCGAGAGAGCATTCGGACAGGTTTGGTCGTAGAATGTCGGAGAAAGCTGCGCTCTATAAACTCCAAGCGAAACCATCATCATCACCATCCAGACAACAAACCCTAACGCAACTCTCACCATTTTTTCTCTACGCCTTAAGTATAAAAGAATAGAAAAAAATATATGTATGAAAATGTTTTTTGAAGACAAGCTGTAAACGAAGGAAGTTGATGGAGGAGATGAGAATCCATGGGAGGGAGGGTTATATATATGCGTTGTTAACGCGGAGTCGCTGTTCAACTATTGGATAGTTTCTTGATTGCATGAGGCAAAATGGCAACTGTGTCCCACTTCTCATTTTGTATTTTTGTCAACTTTTATTACTATTATTATTATTATTATTAATTTCTGTCACTGTGATTTTATGATTTCTTGGGTTTTCTTTCAGCTAGGGAAGATTTTGCTTGAGGAAAATTATATATTAAATCTATATATGCTTCATTGATCCGTGGTTGTGAACATATATATATATATGTATATATATTGTGAGATATATTTGTCTGTCGATAACAGTCGTAAATTACCATCTCTCGCTATATTTTTAAAAAATGATCAATTCTATATTATAATGGTCACGAGTTTTATGCAATGTGCGTGTGTTTTTATGTAAGATAAGTAAATTTGAAAACTATGAATTTACAAATCGGTTGGTGTTTTATTTTATGTGTGGAAGGAATCATAGATGACGCGCAAAAGTCAAATGAAATATCCTTAATAATTGAAATGATTAAAAAATTATTACAAAATGATTAGATTAATTTACCAAAAAAACGATTAGATTAAATCAAGGCACTATGTGTAGGTGTCTAATGCTATTTAAGGTTATATCTTTGACTCCATCCCACCACACGCTTTGGAATAATCCTATTTATTTATTTATTTATTGGTAAACAAAAATGTAAATTTTAAATGTTTGAATTTCATATAAAAAAAATGAGCAAATGGGCAAACTAAATGAAATTCCATAATAAAAAAATGGTGTACCAACGAATAACACAATAACTATCTTTGAAGAGATGAAAAAAAAAATTTATATATCCGAAATTTGTCGATAGAATCATACATAGAATTAACCGATCCCATACCTTCATATATTTTTAAGCTGTCGTTTGGACATGTTCGGATTCCTTCCGAGGTACTTTTGAAAAGTCAAACCTCATTATCAGTTTTTTTTATTTGTTTTAATAATTTCAGATTTCGTCATTGATTCTTTTGTCGTAATTTTTTTTTGTATTTTTTGCTTTTGTTTTTTTAGCTTGTAAAATGGAACAGGCTATTCTTTTTACAGTATCATTACCGAGCTCAAGTAATTAAGTTTAAATCATATGCGATTAGATAATTAATACTCTTAAAATTTTATCTATTCACTGGGCCCCGGAGGATTCGTTCCGTCAAAAAGTGACACGTGGCGGAGAATGGGGAACCTCCGTATGCTCAGTCACAGGGAATCCTCCCCCACCCCTATGCAACCTTTTTTTGTATTTCTTAAACCCAAAAAAAATGCGGGACCAATCATGAAACATAACAGAAGGCGAAGTTGAATCGGAAAACCTCCAAGTTTCCTCTTTTTCTTTTGGTTTTCCTTCCAAAAAAAAAAATTTGGACGGTTAGTCTGCTAAATCTTTTCGATTCTCAAAGATTCTCCCCAATTTTCGCCGATATCTTCGGTTTCTGCTGCTTTGTTTTCCCTGTTTTTCGGTAGCTTTCTTCTCCCTTGATATATATCAATTTCCCATTAGTTTTTCGTTTGGGATATTGTGATCAGGGTGTTGTTTTTTTTTCTTTATCTGGAAGCGGGTTTAGGTTTTGTGTGTTTTGAATTTCTGGGGTTCTGATTGATCTTTTGATCGATCGAATCTATTCGTGGGATTGGGATACCGGGATCTGGGACTCTGGTTTTGTAGGTTTTCGATCGGAATTCCTGAAAAATCTATTGAATAGGTCACGCGTTCGGATTGATCCCTCGATTGAGATATGGAAACGTGTTGATCAACGGGGGTTTGATCTTGTCGTAGTGTATCTCTACGTCTGTGGATGAATATTGTCGTGAAAAGGGAGGAGAATTTGCTTCAACACTTTGCAGACTCGTTTCTGGGTCTTCTAAGCCTGTCCGGTTTGTCTTTGAGAAAAAGATTTTCATTTGGCGTGATCCCTAGATATAGATGGGATAAGGTGTTCTTTCAGCTACAGGGTGGATAACTGAAAAAAAAAATTCTGAATCTGCTGGGCTTTTTTGGTGTGGTCGAAACTGGATTGAGATGGGTTCATCACAAGGCTCGACATTGTCGGCTGATGTGACGAGCCTTGTGGACGCATTGCCTGTTTTTGCCAAAACCCTAATCGCTGGAGGAGCTGCGGGAGCGTTGGCTAAGACTGCTGTTGCACCCTTGGAAAGGATCAAGATTCTATTGCAGGTGAATTCTCGCGTCTTTTGGCCTGCTTGTTTTGCATTCAGTATTTCCAACTGAACAGGAAAATTGACTATGTTAAGAATTCTGTTCTAAGTTCAGGTTGGTCTGTTTGATGGGTAGCTAGAGTTTTACCGGATATGAACTTCTTTTTGGATGGAGTCATGAATATATATCTTTGTGCCTATATGACATTTCACATCGAGTGGCGAACACTTTGGATGGATAGTGTTTTGTTTTGTATGATCTGGGATCTAGGTTTATTTGAATGAAGACAGCATATACCCAAGATATCGCTGACCATTACTGTATTGTTGGTGTTGCTGATCAACCAGTTTATGTTTCTTTTATTGCTGTTGTCAATATCAGACTAGAACTGAAGACTTTCGGACCCTTGGAGTGTACCGTTCTCTAAACAAGGTGTTAAAATGTGAAGGACCTCTTGGATTCTATAAGTAAGTTCCTAGACATTTGGAAGATGTATTTACTTTTGCAGCCACATGAGACTTTACTGAATCCTTGCATATTATTCTTGCAGAGGGAATGGGGCAAGTGTTATTCGGATTATTCCATATGCTGCCCTTCATTACATGACGTATGAACAGTATCGCAACTGGATTTTGGAAAAAAATATCCCCTTGGGTTCTGGTCCCATTGTTGATCTTGTGGCTGGTTCAGCTGCAGGCGGAACAGCAGTGTTATGCACATATCCCCTGGATTTAGCTCGTACTAAACTAGCTTACCAGGTATGTAAAAATATTTTTTGGGGGCTTTTAAATTTCTACACAAATGTTGATTGTTGATTGTTGTTTAACTGAAAATCACAGTCCTTTTGCTCTCTCTTCTTATTCATTCCAATTCCTTATGCTTATTTAGGTTTCTGATACAAGACAGAGTCTCAGGCATGGTGTGAATAACATTTATGGCCAACCTGCTTATTCAGGAATAAAGGAGGTTCTTGCAGTTGCATATAGAGAAGGAGGTTTACGGGGTCTATATCGAGGCATAGGTAAGTAAGCTCAAAAAGCTTACAGGCATAAAGCCGTGTCCTTGTTAGTGATACAATGTGAAAGTAATTGTGAAATATGGAATGTCACAGTCTTATGCTGCTGGTTTGATTGTTAATTTAGTTTAGTAACGGACTGGCGCTTTATCAAAATTTCACGCAAGAGAATGGGTTTGTGTCACACATCTTGCAGTTTTCTCCGACGTTTTGTTTGTTTTCTTTTCGCCTTATCTGTTTTTGTTTACTGCAGGGCCAACGCTAATCGGCATCCTTCCTTATGCTGGTCTGAAGTTCTACATATACGAGGAGCTCAAGAGGCACGTTCCAGAAGAGCATCAGAACTCTGTTCGGATGCATCTTTCATGTGGAGCAATGGCTGGCTTGTTTGGTCAGACCTTCACTTACCCTTTGGACGTCGTTAGAAGACAAATGCAGGTAAGTCAATGGATGATATAATCTATTCAAATTCCCAGATAGCGTAATCATGAATGTGAAATTGGGCTATTAAGGGTCAATAAGTGTTTTCGACAGGTAGAGAATCTGCAGGGAGAAGGAAACAAGCGGTACAAAAACACATTCGATGGGCTCAACACGATAGTCAGAACGCATGGTTGGAGGCAGTTGTTTGCCGGTTTAAGCATCAACTACATTAAGGTTAAGTTGAAATTTTCGTTTCATAAATGTTCCTTTTTTTTACATGTTGGCTCAGTTCATGATCTTTCTCAATTGATGTTGTTGTACGGTAGATTGTGCCGTCGGTTGCGATAGGTTTCACGGTGTATGAGTCTATGAAGTCATGGCTGCGGATCCCTCCACGTGACAGAAACCCAAACCCAAAACCAGCGTCTGTGTCTTAATCCCAAAGCTGTTTAGCTTCTAGCGGGTTCTGTTTCCGGTTTTTTTTTTTTTCTCTCTTTTATTGATTTGAACTTTGGAATCGTGAGGCTTTTATGCCATATCTATAAGTACTTTTGGTCCCTCTTCTTATAGAATTGAGAACACATGTTTCTGTGATTCATCGTCTTTTGTAACACTCGATAGAATACATTTATGTTACAGCTTAAACATCAGTTCTTGCCATTGGGACATAATAGAGCACCAAAGACGAAACACAGTTGGGGATTAGGATTAGGATTTAAACTCTTCACACTTTCGACTCTCTCCTCGTCACCAAGAGACTCCTCGTACTCGAGGTATTTCTTGAACAAGAAGTGTTGCATCTCAAAAGGAATGTATTACTCTCTCACATCAAACCCGACTGCTATTAGCTTATGGTGCGTACCTTCATCTTTTTCGGAGGGAGGCTCAAGCTGATAGCCCTCTCGAACAGGGACCTAGTCACGTCCACCTCTCCCAGCCGAATTTTCTTATGGAGAAGGAGAGTATACGAACTTGGTCAATATATACGCTCCATAAGTCTCTTCTCTTTGAACTCCGCTACTCCGGATTTGAACTCCCGCATAGCTGTCTGCGTCATGAATTCGTATTATGGATGCAGTGTACTGTGTACGTACTTCATATTCATTGTGGGCTTCTATATCTTTTTATAAGATAGGCCCATTATCATTTCGGCCTGCCCCAAATTTACAGTTTTCGGTATGCTTCGGTCCTTTTATTGTTTTTTTTTTTTTAAACTAGTGAGACCCGCGCGATGCGCGATTTATTCTTTTTTACTATTAATATAAAATATTTGTTATGTTGTTATAAAACATCGTTCATATGAATATAACAAAAATTATATATATATATAAAATATAAAATAAAAATTATAATATTTGTTAATATAAATTTAGTATAAATGATATAGATTATTTATTTGATTTAGAAAAAGTATATTTATAATATTAAAATATTAAATAAATCACGAATTTAAAGGAATAAAGGAGTAAGGAGACATGAGGATTATTGCATAGGTTATTTATAAGATTGCTCTCAATAATTTGTTCTAAACATGCTTATTGTTGATCTATTTATTTTAATCTCTGCAAAAATTATTTATAAGGTAATACTAAAAGTTATATTATTAAATATTATAGTTATCATTTGTTTTAAGAATAGTTAAATTTGCGTAGTTGTTATGATCATTTTTTTTATTAGGTTGACTTTTTTTATTTTTTCATAAATGATATGATGTGTGAGTGATACAAAACCTAAATCATAAAAGTCATTAGTTAACTTAATAAAGGGAAAGAATAATAAAAAATATTAGTTAACTTAATATAATAATAATATTATTGTATATCATACATATTTCATATTTAAAAGATAAATTAACCTAAAAATCACCAATTTTCGAAAAACTTTCATATAGATATAAAAACTTTAACAGTTTTTCTAACAATTATTTTATTCATTGTAAACAGATTCATGTTGCTAGATCATCTCATGTAAAAAAGTTTAAAAATATTGTTGTTATTTTTTAAATGAAAATTATATGTTTGAATTTATGTGATGGAGAATAGTACGGACATTGCAAATAAAGATTATATAAATGTATCATCAAAATCGAATAACGATATTTTGATTTTATTTGTAATTAAAGTAAGATTTGATAATTTTATTACAAAATGATATTTCGATAATATTACAGTAATGGTTTGATTAAAATAATAAATATATTTTAACTCTATTATAAACAGTTTATTGTAGATGTAAATTTTTTCGGCACACTTCAGTTTAATGTTCTTTTATAGTAAATCTTGTATTTTGCATAATATTTTACAATTTTAATATGTTGTGTATTTTTATATAAATTATTTTCAATATATTTTGTATGAAAAGAGTTGAGTATGAATTATTTTTTTCTGATCTCATATTTTGATAGTCCATTGAAGAATTAATGATTTATATGTAGATAATGTTGGTGGTGACTTTTTTGTCATTAAGTTTTTGTATGATTTAGAATTTTCAATTCCTTCTAAAGAAGAATTAAGATCGGTCTTTACAAATATAAAAATATAAAATATATTTGTATATAGATAAATACATAAATCTGTGTATAATTCTGAGTTCGATTTTTATATGTTTTACTCATTTATTATTATAATAATAATAATAATAAAGTATGTTATTAAATAATTTAAATATACTTTTTGAAATAAAAAATTTATTTTCAACAATATTATAAAGATTTTGATTAAGTTTTAAATTATATTTTATTTAAAAATTAAATAAAGTTTGATTGACTTATAATGCAATAAGATTTTATAAACTTTTTATTATAAAACTTTATTATTATAATGTTCTCGACAACTTAAATAATATGCATATTAAAAATATAAATAACTCATCTAAAACTTGTAAAAATATGATGAAAATTTTGTTTATGTAAATTTTGAGAAAAAGTAGAAAAGAAATTATTTTGTTTTAAATGCTATTAATATAAATATATATATGATATTATAGATGTATAATAAATTTTATTAAAAACAATAAATCAGTTTATCCAAATTACTTCCGTCCAATTATTTACCTTAACTATATTTCAAAATTTTATCATTTAGTTTTATATGATAACTTTTAAAAATTATCTAAAACCAAACTCATCTAATTTTTACGTTATGACAATTATCTACCCAATTTTTGAAAAATAAAATTCCAAAATAACCAAACATGTATATAATCAACATAGTTTCATTCCATCACACTCCTAATTTACATCGAACCGAATTCCAAGAGTCAAACCAATACATATCAATGCCTCATGTTTTTAGTAATTAGGAGTCAAAAACCACATAACTTCAACTATCTGCAAACACAGAAAAATACTTTTATTAAGAATCTCATACCAGTGAAGCCCGACCAGTGACCTGGCCATAAAAAGATCTTATCCATAACTCGGTCAGTGAAACCCGATTTTTTATGCAACACAACACCAAATCGAATAACTTTTCAAATTTGAGAATTGTAGAATTGTAATCGCTACCATAAGAATCACTCTTAAGAAGTAAAATGTTTCTATTAACTCAAAACTATAGCAGACAATCTTCTGAAACCCTATATTTATATGAATGAATGAACAATCGAATTAGAGAAAATTTGGAATCTGCTAACACCTCATATTTGTTGCTTCCACAAATTTCTCTCTCATTCTCAATAATGAAAACATTTTATTATACATTAACACTCATACAAACTACTTGATTTCATCCGAAACCGAATGTATGTATGTATATATGTATGTGTGTATTTTTTATATAATTTATATTTTATATTCGATTGTTAATTTGTGTGTACGTATGGATATATGTGTATATATGTATGTATGTATGTATACATATGTGTATGTGTTTTTATCATTTATATTTTATATTTGATTTTTAATTTGTGCATGTATGTATCTATATATTATTAAACTATCACTAATTTTTTCTCATGAAAAAAAATAGCATAACGCTACAATCTTTAACTTTCGATTACAAATTTTCTATCTTCATAACAACCACTTTTCTCGAATGCAAAACTGCCTTATCTCGAGTTCTCAATTAAGTTTTTTGAGTACACATTTACCCCTTCTTGAGTCCGCAACCATTTTCGAGCTCACCTATTTAAGGCATAACTTTGTACCAAACTTAAAACATTTGCCCCTTTGTAACATTTTTTCATCTTTATACTCTGTATATATCTTTTCTATATTATGTATACTTAATGAAATTGACATTCATCTATTCATCTATATATATCTATGTATTCTTTGATTTGGGTTACATGAACATGAATGTCAATTTTTTAGTGACAAAAAAAGTGTTTAAAACTCATCAAAATCTGAGTTTATGATACCAACGACTGAAGATGTTTCTTTTCTTATAATACAAATATAAAATAGAAAAAAATACAAACATATATATACATACATACGTACATACACAAATATAAACACTTGTATACATATGTTTGCATATTTTTTATTAAACGTGTCATATATTTTTTTAAAACCTATTTTTTTTCATGAGAAAAAATTAGTGATAGTTTAATAATATATAGATACATACATGCACAAATTAAAAATCAAATATAAAATATAAATGATAAAAACACATACACATATGTATACATACATACATACATATATACACATATATCCATACGTACACACAAATTAACAATCGAATATAAAATATAAATTATATAAAAAATACACACATACATATATACATACATACATGTGTATATGTATCAATATGGGGTCCGATGGCTAAAAAAACTTGGTCACTTCTGCGGATGTTTCAATTGACGGATGTTTTCAACACAAAAATATTATTTTGTATATAAAAATATTTAAAGATATTAAATAACTAAAATATATAGTATATAGATTTGACTATATGCTGTTCACATTTCAAAAACCTTAGGCAACAAACCATTTTGAAAAATTACAACGTTCATGTTTAAACATATATAAATGTAACCATTACACACCCAAATTTCATAATAAAAAAAAAACCATTACATAAGCATATACATACATGTGCAGAAATATTGAAGATAAAACTTCACACGCCCACTCGCTTCCAAAGTCCACGAACTAATATCTTTGTGGAGCAACAACAATGAAGAAAGAGACGAGGCACAGAAACCAATCTCACCGAAATTTTTCAATGCGTTCGAACTTATATCATTCGATATAGTGGGCAAATACATTTACTCTAATAATAAATATGGTGTAGTGGGTTAATCAATAATATGCGTTTTTTCATATTATTAGTGGGCACTAAATATTTTTCACCACAAAAAATATAAACATCCACTCCTGTTATTATTTATCTCATATTTTATTACAGCTATTATTGCTTATTTGTATAGTAGACGTTTTTTCCACACTCATTAATCATATTTATGTAAATAAAATTTTAAATAATAAATAATAAATAAAAATAAATGACACCTAGATGATGAGGTGGAGGATGAGGTGGTTTCACCACAACTCTTTAAACTCCTTTATTAATATATATAGATTTTGAAGTACATATATGTATGACATAGATTTACCATAATAATTCATGTATTATTTTTTTATTAATCACTTTTTTAAACTTCTCATTTAATATATATCATAATAACTTTTTTTATATATCCAATCAAAATTTAAGAAACATCCACCTAGGATGATGAGGTGGCTTCACCACAATCCTTTAAACTCCTTTATTAATATATATAGATTTCGCCTGGATAATAGATTCTTTACACACAAAAAAAAAAAAGAAAAAAAAAGCATATGAGTAAAAGAAATTGGATAATAATCTTAAACAAATAATTCCCCTATGGTCGAGCAGTCATCAATTTTTCATATTGAGAAATGTAGAGAGAGAAAACTATGAACAAAAATGTCTCGTACAACAGAACAGAAAAACCAAACAAGATAAAAAAAAAAACAAAACAAAGACATCACTCCCAAGTAACGGAAATCATGGAATTGGCGAGGCCAGATTGCTCGAACGTTAAGATAGACTCATAGTCGAGAGTGTTCGCCGTACCAGGGATCGCCTGCGTCAGCTTGAATGGCTTCCTCTCCCATCCCTCCATCTGGGAATAGCAGAACGACCACAGAAGCTGGCTCACGATGAAAGAAGAACAACATCAGAGTCTCAGACACAAGACAGATCAAGCAAATTCCTATGTGAAACCCTGTTTGTTTAGATATGAACCTGGATAGGATCGGTTTTGAGGAAGTTCCTCTGGAGCCTCCGCCCATCGGGAAGACGAACACCGACTCTGCATAGAATGCTTCGGTCCCCCTTTGGCTCTTCTGGCAATGGTGGGTATGTGGGCATGGCGTTTGATGAAAAAGTTTCGTCTTTTTCAGGCAATGTCGAGGTTTGCTCCTCGGGTATGGCTGCTTCCTCTGATGATTCTTCCATGTTCTCCAGTGAAGCAGCCAATGCCCGTTGCAGTTCCTCATCTTCTTCATTCGTGATATCCACTGTTTGAACAAAAAAAATGATGCATGAATCGGTAAAGGATGAGACTTTGGTGACTATGATTGTGTACTCATGCGTGAAACAATATCAAGTTTCGGAATTTGGCAACAGTTTGGTGGAATTTTAACCGACCTTTGGCTTTTGAATGAGGAGTCAATGAACTGGCTCTTGGGCGCTTCTTAGATAAAGCAACAAGATGTTCCCGAGGGCCGCCATCCATGAACGGTACCAAATCCTACAAATTGCAGCACATATTGTTATTCCCTGAAAGTACGATTTCATATTCGGACGCCGTAAAACAGGTGTAATGTGATTTTTTTACCTCTAGCAATCTCTCTGGATCAATCATTCCACACCACAGACGCATCTTTTGGCCAGTGGTCGGATCAATTACAAGCACCACAGGAATGGATTCAAGCTTGTAATATGTGCAAACCTTCCTACCCTCCGTTGTATCTTCATAGACCTATAGTGTACCCAAAAAAAAAGATTTTTTTTAATCACAGTTTATCTACATTGTAAGAGATTCTCGGTTGAACAAGACGATGGGTTTTACACTGACCTGATAGAAAATGAAGTTGGCTTTGATGGTTTGGGAAACAGCCTCATTTGCCCATGTGTCTCGATTAAGCTTGAGAAGAAGCATTTACATAAGACAAAGGGTTAGTATATAAGAACTGAGATTATAAGTCCACGGTACACAACTGTTGAGAGTTACCATATGGGAGCTAAACTCCGTTGTAGACTGCAGATTGACAATAAGCCATTTATCCTGAGCAGAAGCAGCTGATTTAGCCTGAACAAACAAAGGCGGTTAGAGAAACTATGCAAAGGGCAATTACTAAGGTGCTGACTTATATTTGGGTGGATGATTGTATGAGGTGAAAGGAAGAGACATACATACAGAAGAGCTGATAGATACCTGTTCAAATGATCCGCTAAACATCAGGTGGAAAGGAGGACGGTACAATGAGGCCAAGCTGTCTCGAGGAGTGGCCACCTCAGATCCCGAGGCTGATGCAGAGGAAGCTCCCTGGTCTGGTTCCCAAACCCCAGGGCGTTTTGCCTCATCGCCAAAGTTACGGAATGCAACCAAAGAATTTGACTCTTGCCCAGAATTCCCTGGCCTCACAGCCCTATTACAAATGCAAGCGAGCTATGAGTTGTTGAACAAGATATCAATCATATGGACAGAAAGCAAGATTCTACAATATATCATCACAATCAGTGTGGAATACACACAACATGCAAGTTATCATCTGCAAGCATTGAAGGCCGTCACAGGAAGTAGTCTCCAAAAATGGAAACAAGGATGAGATCACAAAAAGGAAGAGGCTTTTACCCATAATACATCGAGTCGCCATAAAGGGTCTCTCTCACCACTGGTAAAGGAGGGCGGACTTCGTCTGATGCATCATTCTGTGGTATGTTTTCATCGGCTATGTTTGATGCTCCCCTAAGAAAACCAAAAATGAGATAAATCAATTAGAAATCTTTCTGACTCAGTAATTGGTAATGCAACTTTTAAAGCAAGCATATCATACCACCATGACTGATCAGCCACAGGGTTCGCAATGGATTGTGGCTGAGATGGAAGCATGCCACCTTCGCTTCCAACGTAAAAGAGCTGGATTGCTTCCTCAAGTTTCCAGCTAGTTGCCTGTTGATAACAAATTCTGTCACTGAGTTTCTTATACTCAAAGTAATGATGATAACCATGGAAGATTGGAGTTAGCAAGTACGTGCTAATACACGGAGTCAAACGAGAATGATCACCACCTCCCCGCATCTAAATCTCAATCCGGGTTTCCAAATTCCAACTCGGCAGCTCGGATTGTTTCATCTGAAACTAAACCCTAATCCGGAAACCCCAGAAGCAAAAACCTAAACCCTGGAACCGATAAACCTAAACTATAATCAAATTCTTTCACAATAATCCACGAGCAGTTCTTAATACCCAGTACAAACAATTCAATAGCTTAAATCAGTAACAGCCAACTAACCTGTAAGAACTGCCGGGCGGTATCGGCGGTCTGTCCGACAGCGATCTCAAGGAACGAAGAGACCAACCTCTGTTGGTCACTTGCAGACAACATTCCCTCCATTGCAAGGCAAAAATACCAAAGAACCTCAATCGCTCCTAAAGCTCCCTAATCCTTAGAACCCGGCAGACCAACAGACTCCAAATTTTTCAGAATGACCCGAGGGAAAGAAGCACAACCCTTGATTTAGTACCAAAGATTCATGCTTTCTACAGGAAACCGGGATCGGGAGAAGATCGGATTAAATAGAGAACTCGAAGAGTGATCAACAAAAAAAAGGAAAAATAAAAAGTAGAATAATGGAAATCCAGCGAGAAGCAACGGCAAACTAGAAATTCCGGCAGAATATCAAGATATACACATATTTTCCTTATGTTGATTCGTATCTTGTTGGGATTTGTTCCTTTGGAAAATACTGTTTTAGCCTTCCCAAAGTACAGACAACTTCGATAGAGCTAATGTTGTTTTTGACATTTTGCCAAAAAAAACTCTTCGGGTCATGATTTTGTTGAAGCCTATATTTAATCTTAAGCAAGTCATATGATTAAATAAATTTATGATGGCGTTATTTTAAGAAACATGACATGATGCAGTCGTGATTTTTGTTATTATTTTCCTAGTTTAAGTTTTGAACCTATTTAAAAAAAAAAAAAAGGAATTACGACTTACGAGGTCTGTCGGCATCATGGACTTCGTGTTGGGCTGTTGGGCCGGGTAAGTGGATCGACCCGGACGGCCCAAATAAATATCCCGTGCAATAAAATTGTCGCCCGCGCACTTGGCTGTTTTCATCGTGCCGCTCTTTCTATTAGAACACGTAGTCAGTCTTGCTCTTTCTTGGCTTTCCCTTCCGAGAAATGCATTGCTGAGTACAAATGGCGTATCTTCTCCCCCATTGATTCCGACACTGCTTCCCTAGGGTTTCCTGTGATATCGCGCCCAAAATTGATTGATCTCTCGGCTTCTACTTTGCTCTGGATGAGAAATTCTCGGGCTATGAACCGCGATTTCGATGAAATCTCCGAGGAGGAGTGGTCCCAGTACTCCTTCAACCCCTCTCGAGTGCTCAAGCGGCCACGAACACCGAACAGCACGCGATCGGAGAATCCGCCACCTTCTATTGAATCGTTCACGTTCAAGAGATCGCTAGCGGCGCCGGAGAACAGCGGCGATTGCGTTGAGGTGCAGAACTTGGGAGATTCGGATTCGGAGGAGAAGAACACGAATGGGGAGGATATTTTGTTAGAGGACGAGGAGTTAGAGGTGGTGACTCGAGCCGGTCGCGCTGGTCGGCGGTTTGTGGTGGAAGACGAGGAAGTGAGCGACGACGGTTTTGATAACGAGATTGAGCTCAATTCCAGCGAGGAAGAAGCTGACGGAGGAGGAGATGATGATGTTGTTGGGAAGGCACTGCAGAAGTGCGCCAAAATCTCGGCGGATCTTCGGAAGGAGCTCTACGGTAGTTCTTCAGGGACTACAACTTGTGAAAGGTACTCTGAAGTGGAAGCTTCTACCGTGAGGATCGTCACACAGGTATCGGGAATACCAATCTTCTGCGGAAGTTTTCTTCTTCTTTTTCCCTGGGATTGTGCTTGAAGGAGGTTTCTGCTCTTTGGGTTTTTTTTTTTGCTTTACTTGTCAAGTTCTATTAGTGTTAAGAGTTTTCTTCCTAAACTAATAGAGGGTTTGATTACCTGCAAACTGGAAGGGAAATACGCCATCTTTGTGTATATGTTGTTTCTGGTTTTTTCCACTCATATCTTGATGTGGAATCTCCCATAGATTATACAATCTTCCCACTCTTTTCATGGGTTGATTTGATCATGATGGCAGACAGATATTGATGAAGCCTGTTGGACTGAAGATTCTGATTTTCAGCCTCTACTCAAGCCATACCAGTTGGTTGGTGTTAATTTTCTTCTTCTGTTGTACAAGAAGGGCATTGGGGGAGGTAAACATTTCTTTTTAGATTGGATCTCATGGTGTTTTCCGGTGGTTGGCATCTATTTTCCAGTTGGAGTCTGAATATGATATATATTTTACTTTACTCGCAGCAATTCTGGCCGATGAGATGGGTCTTGGGAAGACCATTCAGGTGCATTATGCTCTATTTTTTTCTCTTGCACCAGTGGTCTTTGTTTGGTTATCAGGCTAATACTGCTTTCTTTTACAGGCGATTACATATTTGACCCTTCTAAAGCACTTGAATGATGACCCTGGCCCCCATTTGGTTGTATGTCCTGCCTCTGTCTTGGAAAACTGGGAGAGAGAACTCAAAAGATGGTGTCCCTCATTTTCTGTGCTCCAATATCATGGGGCTGCTCGAGCAGCCTATTCTAAAGAATTGAGTTCTTTGTCAAAAGCTGGAAAGCCGCCGCCATTTAACGTGCTTCTTGTGTGTTATTCACTATTTGAACGTCATAGGTACAACTTAAAGTAGTGTTGATGGGCTTTTTCTCTGTGGTCCGGGTGAACATGTTACTCATAAACAATTGCTATTGCAGTGAACAACAGAAAGATGACCGTAAAATACTGAAGCGTTGGTGCTGGAGCTGTGTATTAATGGATGAAGCCCATGCTTTGAAGGATAAGAACAGTTATAGGTGGAAAAACTTGATGTCTGTGGCCAAAAACGCAAATCAGCGTCTGATGCTGACAGGAACGCCTTTACAAAATGATTTGCATGTACTATCGATTCCACTTGACATATTATTACCTAATATTCAAGACATCTATTTGTCGTCATTTGATGCGAGTCTTTAGCTCTTAACCTTCTAATTTACTTTTTTTTTTTTTTGCGCTTATTCTTGACCTGGTAATCTATGCAGGAATTATGGTCGTTGTTGGAGTTCATGTTACCCGATATCTTTTCTACGGAAGACGTTGACTTGAAGAAACTCTTGAATGCAGAAGATACTGAGTTGATAATTCGCATGAAATCTATCCTAGGTCCCTTCATCTTGAGGCGTTTAAAATCTGATGTCATGCAGCAACTTGTTCCAAAGATTCAACGGGTATGGGTATATCTACGTATCCAGTTACAGGGTATAAACTTTGAAGCTGAAATTTCTCATCATTTTCCTCAATCATTTCTGCTCGCTGAATGAAGCAAAGGACAAACCAATGCAGGTTGAGTATGTATCTATGGATAAACAGCAGGAGGCTGCATATAAAGAAGCAATAGAAGAATATCGAGCTGCTTCTCAAGCACGACTTTCGAAGCTTTCTTCAAAAGACTTGAATTCTATTGCAAAGGCTCTCCCAAAGCGTCAGATTTCAAATTATTTTACTCAATTTCGGAAGGTATATGTTCTATTATTCGTAGTTTCAAGACCAATTTCAATTTCAGCGAGTATTCTGTTTAAGATTGACACAATTTTCTTATTATGCCGTTTATGATCTTTTTACCGTGTCTGTATCAATTTTTGGGTTTTTCAGATAGCAAATCATCCATTGTTAATTAGACGGATATACAGTGATGCGGATGTAGTCCGCATTGCTAAGAAGTTACATCCAGTTGGTGCATTTGGATTTGAGTGTTCCTTGGAAAGAGTAATCGACGAAATTAAGAGCTACAATGATTTCAATATCCACAGGGTAAATCATCTCTGCTTTTCAGATATTGTTTTTTTTTTGTGTGTACGTATCCAGTCTAGCGTGCGTGAGAGTAAATTGGAACTGCATTTTTCAGCTCTTGTTCCAATTTGATGTTACTGATTCCAAAGGAACCCTCTCAGACGAGCATGCTATGCTCTCAGCAAAATGCCGGGTATGCTCCAATTCTTCCATATCTATATATCTATCCATAAGGTACATATATGTCAGCTAAATGTGCTCATGACCTGGGAAGTGAATGGCAATGAATGTTTTGTTTCAGGCATTGGCTGAATTTCTCCCATCGCTGAAAAAAGACGGCCATCGAGCTCTAATTTTCAGCCAGTGGACGTCAATGCTCGATATCCTAGAGTGGACTCTTGATGTTATTGGTGTCACGTATAGAAGACTCGACGGCAGGTAAAAAAAACTATACTTTATACGAACATATGGTACCCTCTTCAAGACTCAACCTTGGCGAATGTGTTATAAGATCTGATTCAGATTCTGTGTGTTAAATCGTGTGTGAACGCAAGTACACAAGTCACAGACAGACAAAGCATAGTAGACACGTTCAACAACGACAGATCAATATTTGCATGTCTGTTGTCGACAAGAGCAGGGGGACAAGGTCTGAACTTGACAGGAGCCGATACGGTCATCATTCACGACATGGATTTCAACCCACAAATAGACAGGCAAGCTGAAGACAGATGCCATCGCATCGGCCAATCAAAGCCCGTCAGTATCTACAGGTACTTATATCCGTAAAACCCGACCCCCCATATCACTGCTTTCTTCTTCTTTTTTCGATCCTCCACCCACAAATACGGGTAATCGATGACGTGGATGATGCAGGCTGGTGACGAAAGGAACGGTGGACGAGAACATTTACGAGATTGCGAAGCGGAAACTGGTTCTGGACGCGGCGGTTCTTGAGTCGGGAGTGGACCTAGATAACGGCGGAGACACGCCTGAGAAAACTATGGGTGAAATTCTTTCCTCCCTTCTTATGGGCTAAAAGGATTCATGTGTCATCATCATTACAGCTTTTCAGGGGGCTATATCAATGAGAAACTCAATTCCATGAAATGGACGTAAAAACAGATGAAAACGAAGCAATGCTAACCTACAGATTATTATATATAAGATCAATCATCAATTCATCTCTTTTGTTCTAACGACTATAATTATCCACCTTTCCTCTACTCTTCATGCTACTGTTTTCTGTATGGTCATACGTATGTATCCATGCATGCATGTACTTGTTTTTATGTAGTTTGTTATCTATCTTGTACCTTGGGTTGCATTGTTTTATCCTTTCAAATTATTCTCAACCATGAGTGAAAAAAAAAAAGAATTGTTTAGATCCATGAAATGAATTTATTATAAATATCAATTTAAAAATGTCTCTACGGGAGAAGATTTTTGTATAATTGACATTTAAAACTGCGATTCATTAATTTTAAGAATAAAGCAAATGGAACTTAAAAATAGTATTGGGCTTTTGCCGAAAAAATTAAAATAAAAAATAATGGGCTACTGCCTAGACATGTACTAGGCTTTGTACAAAAAAATTATCCCAAACTTGATATATTAAATATAAAAATAAATGGCCCAATCAAAAGTCCTAATCCCAAGCCTAGCCCCAAAACCCATTTAAAAAAAAGTCGTGGCCTCGCGCTCTAGAATATCATGTTAAAAAAAAGTCGTGGGAATCAGGATCATCATGTGTCACATTTTATTGAAAGCAATTTGATGGTTTTATTTGTTAGTATTTACAATTTGTTATAATCATTCATACCAAACAAAAAATTGTTACAATCATATTATGTTTTAGCTTTTTCAATAAAAATTAATGCTAACCGAGTAGATAAAAACAAACAATAATACGTCGAGGTATATATGCATGATACCCAATAAAACACTTCAAACACACGCGCATACTTGTGTGTGAATACGTGCATATACGTGGATATATCAAGTTATCAATATTCCATATATGTGAGAGATGAAATTATAATAAAAAAAAAATCTCAAATTTAGATAAAGAGAGAGCGAGGGTTTTGTCTTGAAGCCACGAGAAAGATACGAATCGAGAGAGAGAGATGTGGCCCCCGACCAACGTCGCATGTTGACACATTTCACCGTTTTAACAGTGACATTCAAACCGTCTCAATCTGATGGTAAAAAAAAAAAACTTCACACACATTTTTTTTAATTAAAAAATGGGAGAGAGAGAAAGGGGGGGGGACCTTTTGCCTGCAAATTTTAAGATCACATATGATTCAATCAAGGATAAAATAAGAAGAAGAAAACAAGAGGGAGGGAGAGAGAGAGAGATAGGGCTTCGAGGTATGTGTGTGTCTTGTAGATGTCCAGACACATGTTTACACATATATATGCATGTATATAATATTTGACTGTCTTGTTCTTCTTCTTCTTCTTCTTCCACATCTTCTTCCTCCTTATCATCATCAACTCTTTGGTTCTTTCTAGGTACCGATTTTATTTTTTTCTCGCTTTTTTGACCTCTTTCTTCTTGGTTCTTTCTTCCGGTCGACAGTT